TTCATGCACACCATGACCTGCAGACCTGCAGGCGTGGCCTGGCTGTGTGCCCTACGCAGGCCAGGGACGCAGGGTCGTGGTGGAGGGAGGAGCTGTGGTCGAGGCTTGGCCTCATCCATCCGTGGATTCTGGGCAGTCCCACCAACACACATAAGCCGGAGTGCTTAACCAAATTCCTCAGGATTAAATACATCTACTTCTCCTTTAGTTAGAAAAATGAGAGGGAGGGGGAAGGAAGGGATTAATTTAAACTCTTACAAAGGAAAACTGAATTTTTTTTCCTTGTTCTAAGAAACGTGTACTCACCATCCTGTTCCTATAGCCAAGGCATTTCTATTAGCACTTAGTTTACTGAGGTTACAGAAAGGTTGGGTCAAAGCTTGAAATAATAAAATTCTTTCTTAACCGACAATTTGGAAGTGGGTCCCAAAAACTTGGAAGCTGAACATTCTGTCCACTGGGTTTCTGAACCAAATTCTCCTAAGGAATGTGTCAGATCCATCATAAATAACCCAGGACCTGGAACACGTCAGTCAATGTGGCAGAATTTCAGAAACACACGCTGGTATTATTTAAACCTTGAAAAGAAAAAGACAATTGTTCCTATATAAACAAAATTTCATCATATTAAAACGTGCATGTTCCTATGCCCGTGGAATTAAAACGTTTTAAAGATCATTTCTGCTACAACTACTTGAGTTGTCACACACTGGAGCCGATCAAATTGAGGAAAGAAAAAGATAAGTGGACACACAGTGAACAGACATAACTTTATTGGAGATTTACTCGGCTACAATTATTACAAAAAAAAAACAAACAAAAAAAAAACGACGCACGGTAATCGTGACCCATAAGGTGCAGACTGCGAACCTCTGCAGGTGACATGGTGTGAACGAGTTACATACAGCATGTTCCTTAAAAACATTTGCAGCACATGATGGCAAACATCTTACAATCAATCCAACTCTATGTTACTGTTACGCGATGTTATCGTTTTCCTCCATTCTATTTACAGCAGGAGAGCCAGCAGTGACCGCTCTTGCTCGCCGCCGAGCTCTGCGCTGCGCCGGCTGCCCGGTGAATTCCGAGCGCGTCTGCGAGATTTAAACTGTCCGCGGTGGAGGTCCAAATAAAAATGGACTGGGAAAAAAGCAATTAATGATTAAAATATATTTACAAGTCAGTTTCGCAAGATCATTTTCACTGCTGGTGGGAAATACAATAGTCTAAAAGCAAATTCCCTAGACATTGCTACTGGTGTCTCCAACAACTTTAAAAATCATTTTAATATTCTTGGTCTTCAACATATCTTAAAAACTTTTCATGTACAATATCAAATTAAGAAATTTATTTGGAAATAATTAAATTCCTGAAAAGTCATAAGGGGTTGAAAAAATACACCTATTTAAATGTAATTAAAATAACCGTACAGGTGATAAACATGGCATGAGTTTCTATTCCGCAGATAACACAAACTGGGTAAGGACTCCACATAATTGCAAATGCACTTGAAATAAAAATACCAAGGTCTCAGTTTGGTGGGCTACAATTTGTGTAAGAGAATGAGATGCCTTAGCAGCAAGACGTAGAGTTCTGAACCACTGGGCCGGGGGCTGCGTGCGGTGGGCCGAGTTGGGTCACTCTCTGCCGACCGCAGTCACCGTCTGATTCCAGGTAATGACTAAAGAGCTGACTGCTGGGTGAATAACTGTATTTATGAACTGAACCAACAGAACCAAAGTAGCCTCAAGTCTCTTGCGATTTAGGCAGGGTAATTTGAATCTTTCTGAGGGCAAGCTATTATTAAGAAAATAAAAATATTAGTATTTTTAAAGATAATTACAGGAGTGTTAGAGGTCATTCTAAATTTAATCACATCATATAATAAAAAAGAAAAAAGTAACAAACATTTTTAAAACATAATTAAGAGCTCAGTTAACAAATCTTTGTCATACTTTTGCAAACAGTAAAAATGCCACAGAGGAGGATGATCTATTGACGCTGTGCAAGTATGTGAGACATGTCGCAGGCATCAGAATGATCTTTCTCAAATTCGGTAAATCAAAACAGCAGCGAGGCCAAACCACATTGCTTCCTCTCGGTTAAGCATATTTTCCTGGAAATGAGGTAAAGCATGGTACCAAGTGCAATGCTCGTCTGTGCTCCACGAACAGAACGGGGTGGGGACTAGTACAAAATGCAGCATAGTTAGGACTGCAGAAGGTCTGTTACAAAGAAATTAAAAACATTTACAATGAAGGTTCAAGCCAACTAAGCTCCACACAATCATCATAAGGAATTTCTGCAGTTGCTTTTCAAGACAGGCTCCCTGTCCTCTGGGCGTGCGGGCGGCACCGCCGCGCACGAGGGCTGCCCTAGCACACCGGCTCCCGTCGCCGTCACGGGACCAACCGAGGGCGCACGGCTGGAGGGTGGGGCAACACACAGTGATTTTTCTCCTTAATGAATGGATCTGAAACATTTCAACAAGCTAAACCGGGGAAACGTTACAGCATTAAAGTCAGCAGCACAAAGCGTTCATAACCATTTCACATGTCTAACTCATAGCTTTTATTTTCTAACGTAGTAACCAGGGGATCATAGAATACTTCAAAGTGGGAGTCACAAATTAAAATCAGCTAATTTTCTCCAGAAAAAAAAAAAAAAGAAATAGCTAAAGTTTGCTGTTGATAAAACATTTTGAATGTTTGTGGGAAATTTGAACCCCTGAGAACGTATGACCTAATCATATCCAAGTCTGAACTTTTTAGTATTAACAAAAAAATACTCTTCTTAAGGTTACAAAATATATTGAGGCATTTTTCTCCCAATGGGAATTATAACTGAAACAATCCGATTTTGGTGCCAGGAGGTAAGAGAATCCTTAATACTGGGATTAGTGCACCGCACAATGAGAAGCCCTAAGCTCCTGGCGGCAGGTAGTTTATAGATTAGTCTGAGGTCTGTGATACAGCTCCATCACAGATCATCCTCACAAGTAAAATTCACATCCAGCCTTAACTTGTTCATTATACACGTTTACAGTTATGCAACTCAAGAATTGCTTGATTTGAACTTGCCAGGAGATCTTATGTTGAGATGTTTTTAAAAAGCCAAACAGATATCTAAGGTGCCAAGTCAGAATTCAATATTTTAAAAATGAGTTCACCCAAATTAATTTGCTCAAACATTCATTTAATGCTTTAAATCCGTCCAATTTAAATTTAAGATTGGAGACAACAAACAACTTTGGAGAAGCTTAGCATCCCCCCCCCCCCCCCGTCTCCTCAGGTCTCCTTAGCAAGTGAAGCTGAGCTTTCTGCACGACTCATGCAGAGGTGTTTCTCTGGGAGCAGGCGGTGCAGACCAAGCGAGAAGTACAGTATTCCACTGCAATTTAAACATGATGCAGCACTGCATGAAGATCAAGCTCAGAACGATGTGCTGGAAAACATTAGACACCTCTGCTCAGCTTCCTTAACCTTCAAGCATAATTAATGGGGCAAATTGCAGCAAACCTCTACTGGTATGTTGGTGGGTGTACAAGACTGACCCACAGCTTTTATAAAGGTAAATTAAGAGGTATTATAGGTACAGTGCAAAAAAATTAAAATTTCAAGCATAATACATAAACATAGCACCAAACAGGGGAAATGCATGCAAAAGAAAAGAAGAACTGAGGTATTTAAGTGAAGAGTGCCTACAGGTCTAATTAAAGAAACTTAGGCAAGTGCCTAAGAATGTCTTTTTGTTTCTTTATGAAGATGGAAATAATGAGCTAGTTGATCTAAATTAATGAGCTAAATCACCGATGTATCACAATTACGGCAGTTTATCGCAAACATTAAACTTTCACGGCATAAACAGCACAGCTTTGGTAGGTGAAATATACATGCAACATCGTGAAAAGTACAGTAAGAAATTTATGTGAGAAGACTAAAGGTAAAGGTGCTGGGTTTTGCTTCTTTAAATAAGTAACCAATGAATTATAAAATCTGCAGCATATTTTAGGTGTGATATGTCTAAAGTTTATTTTGTTAGAGAAACAGACTACAGGGCAAAATTATTTGCCACAAACAATTTCCTTCAGTGGAACTACCTAGCAGGAGGTTTTTTAGTAAAATTGAGTATTTAACCAAAGATCATTTTTATTACGGTGTCTTAAAAAAATCCATAAGCTACAGATTCTAGTTTTTAAAATGTCTTCAGTACACATGTCAAAAATCCCAATATCCTGTTTTAAGTTACAACTACACTAGTGAGTTGTGAATATCACACTGTCTCAACATCTAATGCACAATAAAATGCAGGGAATGTAAAATTAGTTTGCTCCAAAAAAAGATCAGAAATTAAAAAATCTCCATGAGGACATTACTTTTAAGGCAAGAACCTTTTTTATGCTAGATTATGTGGCATGAGAAAACTAAAATCGGATTCACCAACATGCCAGCCAATGTTCCTTAAAATCGGTCCCTTACTGTGAAGTGCAACAGTGCCGGGAACCCCGCACACCAGGGGCCGGGACACAGACGGCGCCGGCACCTTCCCCTGCTCTCGCAGACCGCAGCATCCTGCCGGGTGGGCTCCCCGCGACGAGGGACTGGCGGCACCGCACAGACTCGGGCTGGTACGAGGACTCTACATCATTCTAGGGATTGTTTGAGGTTTTAGCTCCATGACCTCCTAACACTACAGGTGACAGAAATTAAACACAAAACAAACAAAAAACTATCAATAATTCTGAACACTTGCTAAATGTCATCATTAAAGCACTCTTGTGATTTAAACAAAGCAGAAGTGAGGAAAGAAGACAAGATTGTGTTTGCGCAAAAAACTAAAACTACAATTAGTTCCAAAATTTTTATACATATGTTAAATGTTTTATTCTGTAATCTATCTTGTTATCAAAGAAACTTTAAATTCTGCCTTCAATTCATTCTGCTCAGTATCCACTTTAAATCACCCTTTTCGATTTAAATATTTTCCACCTTAATTCTGCCTTTTTTTTTATTATTATTTTAAAAAGGGGTTTCAGCTGTTGGGAACCTGAGGCTGGTTAGCTTTGAGGCTTCGCAGGGCTCTTCTCGCTGCGGCAGATTTGGCAATCCTGTAACTGCGGCCGACGCCTTTAAATTTCCCCTTTCCTACCACTTCCACGGTGACTCTGACCTTGCCATCGTACGTTCTCTCAGCTGGGCTGTAAAGAGGCCAAACAGCCTGAATTAGAAGTCAGAAGTATTTGTTATGATTGTCAATCAGCACTGAGTGTGCGCTCTCGGCCGAGAGTCCGTGCACAGGCTGACGCCGCACAAGGGAAATGTGCACCATGACTTATGCACACCCGCGGCAGGCGAGCTGCCGTTTCTTCTTTAATTCAGCATCACTTTGTAAAAACAAAAAGGGAAGTCAATCAGACTGCGAGGGAAAACTGCACGAGAGTGTGCCCCAGTGTAAATATTTTTCAGATTCGTTCGTTTATGGCATCTCTGAGAACTTTCCCCCCTTGTTTTTAAGGAAGTTAATTTTTTCCATGCACATTTTTGCTTACCTAAATTTGGCGGTTTCTGGTTCCATTTCAAGCAATTCTCGCACAGGGGAACGGGGCACATTTGCAGAAAACTTTTCTATAATCAAAATAAAAGAATAATGTAAATAATACCCTTGAAGTTGCTTTTAATTCTGATTTTGCTTCTTCTGAAGGGGAGCCCACAGCACCTACCTATTAGTGGCCGCATCATAGGATAGTACACCTGCCAAACCATCTCCAGTGACATCCCGCTATCCATGTAAATGGCACCAGCAAGCGACTCAAAAATATCCCCCATGGCCTTGGGAACTTCGATGTCCTCTTCCTTCTCTTCGTCCTCCTCAGATCTCCGCAGCTGTCACAGAAAAGCAACTTGTAGGTGAAGGGGCCGTGCTAAAGGCAGCGCACAGAGGCACGCTTCTTCCCGGCCTGTGGCTTTTGTTCCATCTTTAACAAGGTAACGGTCCCAACCATTTATGGCCTGCCTACTACACAGTAATGGTTTCTTCACAAACATCACCGTATCAAAATAAGGTGTGCTCAAACTTCCCCAAAACAAAAAAGGAAGAAAAAAAAATTCCCCTCTCACTTAATATTCTATACCCAGCAAAGAAAAAAAGATTATTTCTAAATAAAAACAAAAATAATTTAACACAAAATTAGAACTAGTCAATAAATGTATTTTTAAAACTCCAGATTCATTCATCATCAGAGAACTGCACATTAAAGGCGCTGGCGAGGACTGAGCAGGTGCCAATCAGAACGCGGCTGGTGAGGCGCACACGGCCGTGGGGATAAAGTGCCACTTTTTTGGCAGGGAAATTCTATTTGGAAGATATTTTCCTCCAAGCTCCTTTTTATGAAAACACTTAATACATGTTTGCTATAAAAGAGTACCTGACACATGGTAGGTATTCAAATCCACAGAATAAAAACTTACTTATGTATCAAAAGCCTTTTATTATTATTTTTATCCTCACCAGAGGACATTTTTGCATTTATCTTCAGACAGAGCAGGAGGGAGAGAGGGAGGAAGAGAGAGAGAAACATCCATGTGAGAGAGACACATCGACTAGCTGCCACCCACACAACCCCAACCGGGGCTGGGGACAAAAGGCAACCAAGGTACGTGCCCTTGGCGGGAACCAACCCGGCCCGCGGACCAACGCTCCAACCGCTGAGCCAAACCGGCCAAGGCTCAAAAGCCTTTTAAAGGTTCATAATTTTTGACACAGCAATTCCATCTCTGGGAATTTATCCTAAAGAGGTAACAGGATATATAAGCATATTTATCACATCCATGTTTATTAAAAGTCCTAACTAAAAGCAGCTTAAATATCCAGCCACAAAGGACTACTGAATACACTCTGACAGCCACGTACTGACTAGCATGCAGCTACCGAAAGTCATAGCGCCAATCAGCACATGCAAAGTCATCCACAACACAGTAAGTGGGAAAAAAAGAGGTTATACTATATTACGCACAATATTATTCCATTTTATATATATGTTTGTATCTACAGACATTACCAAGAATATATCCCAAGATGTTAATCTGGATTCTTTCTCAGGTTGTATATTTGCATAACTTTAATTTTCTTTTTGCATTTTCTAAAATACACATAAATTACTTGTGGAAGAGAAATAAAAAGTAGGGGACAGTAATTTCTAAATAGATTGTTTAGTGACATGAAGTCCTACATACCATTTATAATGCTGACTTCTGGAAAATAAGATAATTACTGTTCATATGCCATGATATTGAGGTAGAAAGGAATTTTAAAACTTATGAAGTTTAATTCTCTCCTTTTACAGGTAAGGAAACTGAGGCCTAGAACGGTAGAGAGAGTTCTTAAGATCAAACAGTAAATTAGAGAAGCCAAACCATGACATGTCCAATCCGGGTTTTAACTTATATACATGTTTATATAAATAAAGGGGAGGAAAAGAATGAACACAAATGAACAGAACCAGAATGTCCCACCATCATGTAAAAGAGAATTTAAATCTAATTTTAGCCAATCCCTCAAGTTCTAAGCATACAGTGTTTGGCAGAATGAGCCAGGAAATAATGCCTGTGTGTGAGACGGCTCTAACGCCCAGCGTCACTGCTGGCCGTGCCGCACTCAGACTGCGCACGAGGGAGAGGCACACGGGGAGGCACACTGCCAACCGATGCCCCCAGCTGCCCGCCTGCGGCTAGTCCTCAAAACCCACACCCTCCACCTCTCACAAGTCAAGACAACGCAGAAAGCCCCAACAATGGTTTGGTGCAATTAAAAAGGGGACAAATCAAAGAACAATTACAACGCTACCAGAGGAATTTATGAGTAAATTCCTTAACTCCTTATAAGAAGAAGTCTACAAAAATAAACAAAGGAATCAGCATGGGGAGATAGGGGTGAGAGCACTCTCCTGGGCACCCAGGTATGCAGACGGATGGCAGTGAGCGAACGGGGGACCCTGTGACCATCTAAGCAACACCCTTTCTGACAAACTGCAAGAGTCCGCAAATACATTAGGATTAGCTCCATCACAGAGAACCTTTGGCTGAACTTACAGAAGTAGCCTCTCAAATTCCAATGGTTAAAAATGGACAAGTTCGATTTTTAACTGAGATTTTCCCATTTCCAGTAGAAACAGAATATGTATTTGTGCTGCTTACCTGGGACAGGAGCAAATATTCCGGGTCTGTCTTGAACAGCAAGGCGAGCAGAATGAACCCTGCGGAGCGCTCACTAGGTCAAGGCTACCGTGGGGGTGGGGCCGGAGGTGGGCTGCACTTCTCTGGGAGCCCGAATGGGACCAGGAAGGCACAATACTTGACTGCTCCGGGCTCCCTCTCCCCACGTGAATGACAAGTGTCGAAGTGTGGGTCCCCTGAAGACTCCAACTCGCCCCCCGTTCTCCCCAGAACATGCAAATGCGGGGTGCCTGGCCTTTGGCCATCCCTCTGGACAGCTGAGTGGCCAGAGCGCTGACACCGCCGAGAACCCCAGACGCTGGCTCAGACAGACTTGGACATATTCGCGGTAGCACCAACCTCGGAATCCATCCCTTGCATTTCGTTCTTCTCGAGCTGGAACTGCACAAAGACATCGATGACCTGGAAGAGCTCCGGGGACACAGCTTTGAAGTACTTGTGGTAGTCATATTTCACGGCCAACGACGCGAAGATGGTGTTGTTGACCAGAGCAGAGCGCAGGTCAGTCAGGACCCCTGGGGAGTGCTGCCGAGGGTCTTCGTAAAGGTGCTTGGTTATGAGGTAGTCCAAAATCGCATCTCCCAGGAATTCTAAGCGCTGGTAACAATCTGCGGAGGAGCCAAGGGGAGCCATGAGCCTGAGCGGAAGCATGTACATGGTTTCCACAGGATGACTGATAAAACAACATGACCCCAGCGCCTTTTAGGAGAATTTTATTTGGGTTCATTTTCATATATATTCCATGACAAAATCATGACATCTTGTACTTAGTGAAGCCTCTGGTAAATACATTTAAATGGCAAATTAAACACATTTCTTATATATAAGTTGGGGTCATAAAATCTTTAAGGGCCCAAAGACAAATGGCTTGTTAAGGAAAAAAACTTTTCCCAGGTGATATCATTATCCCGGAACCCTTTACCCCTGGCACCATGCTGGCCAGCCAGGCTGGGCACTGTCCTAAAGTCTCCATCACACATCACCACCCCAGTGAGCCGACTGCACTGTGGTGTCACCACAGCACACCAGCTCACTCCACTCAAGTGTGTTTAGGTGACACCACGTCTTGCCACTCCTGGTGTCTATATGTCACACGAGATGACAGTTAGTACATGAAGACCCTCTTCTCGACTTAGGTTAGAAATGCTGAATCTGAGCCCTGGCCAGTGTGGCTCAGCGGACGGGAGCCTGTCATCCTGTGCAGCAAAAGGCTGCCAGTTCAACTCCCGGTCAGAGCACATGCCCAGGTTTCAGGCTCCATCCCCGGTAGGGGGCATGCAGGAGGCAGCCAATTGATGTTTTGCATGTTTCTCTCTCCCTCTCCCTTCCTCTTTCTCTTAAAAAAAAAAAATGTTGAATTTGACACAAACCAAGAGATGGAGTGAGAAGTGTTATGGGAGTCAAGACCTTAGGCAAAAGTGGTTGGTGGTCAAAACGTGCAAAGTTATCAATATTAACCAGCACCTAAACTCTCTCAGTGACTAAAGAGAGTTTATTCAACTGGAGAAACGGAGGCAGAGACAGATGAAGTGAGGTGCCCAGCATCCGATGGTTTAAGACAGGGGCTGTGATGGGCCGGAGCCCAGACCTCACCAGGTTGTGGAGTAGAAACCACGCCTCATTTCATCTCTACCAAAAAAAACAGGTTTTACTTTCACCAGTCTTTCTAGTCCAGAGTTAGATCATTTTTCACTCTTTGGCTTTACATTTCTCAGACCATCTTAATCTACATGTTTTTTCTTATACAAACTTCACACTTTGCTTTGGTTTTCTGGATTCAAGCACTTGTTATTCTGATACAGAAAAAGCACATGGGCTTTCGCTGTTTCACAGGCTGAAGCTGGGTCTGGCTTTCAGGCACCTAGTCTTCCCCTAACCGAAGGGGCCGGGGCTATTCGATGAAGAAGGGGAGCGACACGAAGCACAGCCGGGCAGAGGGCTGCACTCAGCAAGGGCAGTGAGGCCTGCCATGAAGCAGTTTTTCATCATGTATTGATCTTTAGACTTAAAAAGGCCTTAGCAGAGCCTTTTTTGTTCAAGAAGAATGATAAAAGGATGTGGAAGTGCATCCAGAACACAAATAAATCAGGACCCCAAAGCAGCAGTGAACAGGCACAGAAAGACACCGCGGCGGGATGACCAGGAGAGGCACAGCAGGAGTCAGGACTCCACTCTCCCTAATGACGCAGCACATGAGATGACACATGTGAGCACAGAAGAGGGCCACCCTCCCAACCATCAAAGGAGCAGCAGCCCTGCTCCCCAGAAGATGAGGAAATTAAAGGCTCCTTTCGTTTTTCTTTGCTCCCTCCCCCCACCACGCATATTAAGCACCAAGTCTGAACATGCAGAGATCATTTTTTCACAAGGCCTAAGTGACGCAATGAACACATGGCCGCGTGCTCAGAGAAGCGAAGCTGGGTCTGGGACTCCTTACCAGTGATAGTGTTGTAGTGGTAAGAGGCATGTGTAAAAGCCTGTAGCAGGTAAGCCTTATTCTTGAATCTGTAGTTGATTTTCTCTTCAAAATTTTCAAAACCCGATATCAGGTGATTCAGTGTTTTATCTGCGTCCGGATGATCAAACATACATCTCGGTGGGATCTTCAAACAGCCGTACTCCAAGTCTCTAAACACAGAAGAGCGTGAACTGGCGACAGAGGCAGCAGCACGGCCCCCTGAAAGGTTCCTTTGTCGGCTGTTGAAATTCTCCCTAGCAGGGCACATGGCCTTTTCCCGCTCAGTCCTTTTAATTACTGGGAGCACCTTCAGCCCCAAGGAGCAGAGGAAAAGCTGAGCAGCCCTCTCGCCGCAGCTGGTTAAATAGCAGCCCAGCAGGGCTTCCACGCAGTCGGCGATGCTTTTGTCAGCAATGCACTGCTCAGTGTGCAAGTCATAAGAAATGGACTGTTTCCCTGTGTCGACACCACAGTTTTCTTCTGATGGGTTCCAGAACCCCACCACAAAGTCATCCTCTTCCACAGCTTTGCTAGGATCCAGATAGCACATTGCATCCCAAGAGCTATAGTCAAAATCCTCAAAATCTGATGAAAATGGCATATCACCTAAGGAGGATTTGGGGGGCATTTTCCATTCGTATGCAGAATCAATGTTTGAGAAAGGAGAGAGAGGAATTTTCTTTACAAAAGCTCCTGATCCCATTAACATGTTGTCTATGAACTTGATGTGTTCCAGGTCATACTCCTCATAGTCGGCGTCCTCCTTTGTAGTCCTCCACACCAGGTCCTCCTCCTCCTCCTCCTCCTCCAAATCGTCATCCAGTTTGCCATTAGCCAACATGCAGCCCTTTGTCTGCAACGAGGGGGAATGGGGAAGGAGGGGAGACATAGCTGCTGTTTTTAAAAGGGTTTGAGACTCAATAAAAGCAAGGGTTATGGATAATTTCAAATGACAACCACAAATATTAAAAGGCAACTTTAAAATCATGGCCATTTGTTTTCAATTAACATAAAATAAGTTATTTAATCATATAAACAAAGTGAAACATGTTCTTTGAATGTTCATTTTCTAAGTTATAAAATGACCTTTATCCAGTATGAAGCTTTAAGCTAAGGATTTTATACGTGGTATATGAAGTTAGAATTAATGTCCACAAGACTCCCGCTACGAACTCTAGCTCTGGCAAGGTACACAATGAAAGCACTCACATGCCGATCAGAGAGATCTTCCATTTTGCTGACAAAGGTTTACAAAGATTTTCAAATTAATAAAATTAAATTCTAGACATAGAAAAAGCATTATCTTTGCAATTAAGTGAGAGTATAATATAAAACCAGATAAGTTTCTTAAATCTTTATAACTTTAAAAATGTGCAAGAGAGTTTCATGCTACAGTTTCTGTCCTTATTTCTACTTCAAATCAAAGTACATTTGCTACAAGGTAAAACTAAACTGCTTTACTTGAAAACTAAAAGTGATCACTGAACTAAACTAAGCTATGAATTTGAGAAATTATGCTTTTCCCTCCACTGAGCTACAGGAATCAGGGTAACTGATTATAGCATAACTGACAAAAAATAAAAGAAAATTTAAACTAACACAAAACACAACAATCCAATTTCTGTCAGAAGATCTTTGCTAATTCCAATTTCTTTGGCAAAAGCTTATTTGTGAATGACAACGTTAATAATGGACTAGGATTCAGTAATGATGTACCCTCTTTGCAATGCTAGAAAGATGCCAAATTTCTGTTGAGCAATAACACTGAAACACACATACACCAAGACTTGGCTCTGGGGGAGCAGCAGGGGTGTTTCAGTTCTGACAGCGACAACTCACCAGTGTTCTGGAAGGAAGGTTTTCAACCTTTCTGACAAGCACTTTTTTAATGCTACAGACATTTTCATTTTAAGCCAGACTCAAAAGAGATACAAACTGTAATTGTTTGAAAAAGAAAATAAGAGCAGTGAGCCAAGCCATATACCTTTAACCATGTATATATTTTAAATTTTAAAAAAAGTTTATACAACTTTTTCAAGAATAAGGAAGAACCCCAAAAGAAACTACAATGGCAGACCTCTAGGAACCATTTCCTATTAAAAACTCTACACTGCCCTAGCCAGTTTGGCTCAGCGGTTAGAGCGTCAGCCTGCGGTCCAGAGAGACCCGGGTTCGGTTCCTGCTAAGGGCACGTACCTCGGTTGCAGTTTGTCCCTGGTCCTGGTTGGTCATGTGGGTGGCAGCCACTCGATGTGTCCCTTTCACGTCGATGTTTCTCTCTCTCTCTTCCTCTCTCTCCCTCCCACTCTATCTGAACAAAAAATTGAAAAATGTGCTCGGGTGAGGATTAAAAAAAAAACAACCCTACACTTTCCAGGTAACATGAGATGTTTTTTGACTATTGTTTGGTCGTTAGAAGAAAGGGCCAGTTTACAATTTCTTTAAAAAATCAGACTGAATAACTTTTAATTAAAGACAACCTTATATATTGTTAGAGAGATGCTCACATAAGCTAACATTAGCAGAGTGCAAAAAGAAACACGAAAAGGACTGGCTTTTCACACAAATAAGCTGCATGATCTTGGGCAAAGTTCTTTAAGCCTCTGGTTTCAGTTTCTTTATCTGAAAAACAATGGGATTCTACCTTACTAAATGGTTTTCAAGAGCAAGACTTCCAAGCTCTTTAAAAATAAAAAGCCCAGCATGAAACTTTCCTCTTACAGTTCAGGAGACCTTTCTGCCTGAGTTATTACCACTTTCGGCATCTGTAGGCTAAGGTTTCTCTGAACCCTATTTAATGAGAGGAGGGCAGGTACAATAGGAATGGGAAAACATGCTTCTCAACAGCATGGAAGGGCCTATTTCCACTAGGAGAACTTATTCAGTGGAAGTTTGGACAGTATTTTTAATGTATTCCAAGAACCGAAGTGCCAGTTCATCTGAAATGTCAAAAAAAAGAACTGTGTGCTGTAGCTTTAAAAACACATTTTTTTAATCAAAAGGACATGCCAATGTCAACTTTATGCTAAATTTTTTTTTTAAGAGTCTTATAAAACAGTATTTACAAGGCAGGATAATTGTTACTGGAATATATTTAGTAAAAATTAACGTTTTTCTCTAAAATTCTCAGAATCTACACAGTTTCTCCTAAGGTTCTATCTATCTCTAAATTAATAACAAATGTACTTTTTCAAACTGAACTTGCATTAAAATATCCTCTTAATGCTTTTCCACATAAGTTTAATTTCTGTAACAAGTCAAATACTGCATAACTGAAAAATACACTCAATAGAGAGGTAAAAATGCAGATAGAGTCACCAAGCATGCAACCTGGAAATACTTAAGACAGGTATGTGGGACACGCTTGTCAGAAAGGAAACAAGAACATGTATAGTTAGAAATTACAGCCTGTTGAAACGGGATTCTCACTGTTGGCCTGAAGTAAAAACGAAGTAACAGCGCACCAGGTTACCAGGAACGCAGACTAACTGCCGGAGAAATGGAAGTGCCCGAGAGCCTCTCCCTGCGGAGGAGCCCTGGGGCTTTCCAGCCAACCACCACCAGACGGGCTGCTCTCCCAGCTCAGCGGAGGCCCCTCGAGGTGCCCTCTGGTGGCCTTCAAGACAAGATACTAATGCAGCTGCAGCTAACATTTGGAGTCTTCCGAAGTCACTGGCAAGATTTAAACTATTTCATGAAAACAAACACCTTTATGCATGGTGATTTATTTATTTACTTACTTACTTATTTACTTATTTATTTATTTAAGGTCACAAAAGAAGAAACAGTCCTAAAAAAACCCTAAGCTGAAAAGGCAGGGTTTTATTTGAAATTTCATTATTTCACAGATGGGATCATAGGTCATTGAAAAGTCATTTCATTGAGCAGAGCTAAGTAAGGATCCATGATAAACTATAACACATAACAGTAAAGTGAAATGTTAGGGGTTTTTCTTTTCTTTTTAAAAAAAATCACAGCATTAGATACTCTTCTAACTCTGGCAAAGGAAGAAAAAAGAAACTCTTCCATTAAAATTGCAACATTATTTCTAAATCCAATGAAAAGACAGTCTATTATAGAGGTATTAAATCAATATATCAAATATCTACGCTATTATAATCATACGAAGGGAGGGATTAATAGAACAAATTTCTCTCCCATCACCAAAAAAATAAATCTCCAGTTACCAAAAACTTACCATTTCATCTTTTTCCCATTTATCTGTGTTACTTTTATCTTGATTTACTACATAACCAGGAGGAAGCCAATTCACAGGGGGATCAAATATTGACACCACCATGCGGCTGGGTAGTCCCTTCTTTTTTCCAAGCCGATACAAATTACAGTTGCTGACCTTCAGCAGAAAAAAATTATAAGACACGTACTGTAAGTGATCACTGCTGAAATTCATACAAAGCATATTAACATTTTTTTCCTAAATTACTATAACTGGTCATCAATTATCAAGACTGATAGAAAATAATGAATTCTATATCTTTTTGTATACTCAGATGAATATTTCTGAGTATTAAATGCAGATCAGAAAAAAACTGATGTATACAAGCAAATTCCTTATAAAGTCAGAAAAGTTCCATCTCAACCTTCTGAATGCACGATCTGATGACAGAAAACGCACCTTGACAATTGGAGCTATCAGAAAAAGAAACCATATAAAAAGTCCAAGATGTCACAATATCCTCAATGAAATAAAGTGAAAACAGCCACTGAACAGAGCTAAAATATTTTATAAAACCTAAGCCACAAATATGATTTCAATTGTACTGTTTTCTCAAACATTATTCCCTTGTTTTGGACGGTATTTCAAGCTAGGTTTGTTCAATCATTTTAAAATAGAGCAAAAGGAAATAAAGAACAACTCCCATGTTTATTCACATCAATAAAACCCTCCATTCTGCTTCTCCTAAGGCCTCCATCTCCTCCCTAATTTACCCAAATTATTGCATGTGTCTCATTTTTACTTGGAAGCTAGGCTCTAAAACTGTCAACCTCATTTTCATTTTCTAAAATCTGGGTTTCTTTTTATGTAAGTACTTCATGAGCCCTTTCCCCACGTAACTCAATACCACAGGACAAGCACCCACCACAGGAGAGGCGCTGGTCAGGCATCCCTGAGAGAACTAAGTCAGCAAGACAGGGGGCAAGCCCTGCACAGAGCACAGCTGGGAGGGAGAGGAGTCCACCTCCACTCGGGACATGCTAAAGGCCTTTCCCATGCTGCCTGAAACGTAACAACTCAAAGAAATGCTACTTTCCTTTTCCACACTATGAGAACACAACATCCCAGATATCAACAAGAGGATGGAAATCACAAAGTCGACAGAAATGGTTGGCAGGGTAGAAAAGGAAGGAAGAACTAAGTAAGGACTCATACAAAGCTCAGTGTGGGACAAGCAGAATTCAACACGTAGAAATGGAGCACGTGTTCTGAGACCAGCTGTGTGTGTGCACTGGGTCCCGCAGTCTGTTCAAAGAACAAGGGCATAAGCCTGGTTAGGAGACAGATGTATCTAGGGCTGAGCACCCTGAAAGGCCTTATACCAGGTGAAGGGAGTGAGAATTTCTGCAGGAAATATGAGACAAAGCTCTCTAAGCAGACGGATGAATTTTCAAAATATAAAGTCTTTCTTACCTAACAGAGTATACAGACTCTTACTTTCTAGTCATTCTTAGCCTCTGATACTGCCTTCCTGCAACCACCCCTGGGAAATCTCATTCATCCTCAGAGCTTCAACGATCACTCATATAAAGACTACTCCCCCAAACCATATCTTAGTCCTAAAGTCTCAATTATCTGAACATTCTACTTCATATTCCATGAGGTCTAAAAACCTAAACCAAACCCTGATTCCTACATTTCTGTCTACCTCACCATCAGCACCAATATCAACCCAACCTCCCAGTTTATGTGGTTGTCATTACTGCAACCCCCCCCCCCCCCATCTTTCTGCCTCCCAACTGTACTGGGAAGCAGCAGAGAAGATGGTGAAGGGTATGGGCTCTAGTCTCAGACACAATCCTCACTATCCCAGACTAGCTAGATAACCTTACTCAAACTAATTAAACTCCCTAGGCAGTTTTCTCATCTGTAAAATGGGGACATGTTATCTACTCCAGGGGCTCATTGGAAAGATGAAAGGAGAAGGCTATAAAATGCCCAGTATAGTGCCTGGTGTTCCAGGGTAATACCAAGGGTAGGTCACTGCAATGGTGAAAAGCAACATCTCTAAAGCCAGACTGAGCTCTGCCTTCTGTTTACCATATGACCTTGGGCAAGTTTACCTCTGCTGCTCCAGTATCCTCATCTGTAAGATGGAATAAGACAGTAGTGTCTGGCTAAAGTAAGCACTTCATAAGTGTTGGCTAAAATTTTTACTTCCTCTCAAATATCAACTTCCAGTCCCTTCCTTACTGCCAGAACTTAGATATCCTATTTTCTGCTTAAGTGTAGACGTCTTCAAAGCCAGCTGACTGCTCAGCTTGGTTTGGTCTTGCTTTTCAACTCAGGCTGCATTCTGCTACCAGACTGGTCATTCAAAACCAACACTTTATTAATATTAATACAGTAAAACCTCAATATAATGAACTAATTTGGGCAAGGGGTGTCTATTCAAACTGAAAGTCCATTATATAATAAAGTAGGTTTCCCAATGCATATATTTAAAAAATTGACAAATTAACCTGTTTTTACTTATATAGCATGTTTATGTAATTAAAATTAAGTATGTATAAAAAATTTAATTTCACAGAAAAGTTTTCTATATGTATTACAGTAGTTTTAAATTTACACTGAATAGGTCTAATAAACGTGTGCATTCACCACGGGTAAACAAATGCACACGGCAGGGGCGTGGCTTAGTATACGTGAGAACTACTGCAGAAAGTCATGCCACTAGACAACAGAACCAATCACCTTAAATGATGTGGTGTGATCATGTGCTAATCATTCATGGAACGCTGTTTATAAGTGGTGACTCTTGAATTTAAATATGCAGACTATAGTCGTAGATATGTAATATTTATTTATGCCATCAAAATTACTAAAGTGTTTTTTCAACATACAGCTATTCGCTAAAATTTGTTTAAAATATCAGTGAATTAATGACAAAAATATAACCTGCTAATTTAATTAAAAGCAAATCTTGGTTAAAAGCACTTTAAAATTAAAATTAACAGGGTGTTAATTTTCACATGACATACGAACCGTAAATTTTGTCCGTTAAACCCGAAGTCTGTTAAATCAAGGTCCACAAAATCGAGGGTTTACCATAGATCAGTGATTTTCGACCTTCCTAATGCCGCAACCCTTTAATACAGTTCCTCATGTTGTAGTGACCCCCAATCATAAAATTATTTTCGTTGCTACTTTATAACTGTAATTTTGCTACTGCTATATCTTAGGCGACCTCTGTGAAAGGGTCGTTCGATCCCCAAAGGGGTCACGACCCACAGGCTGAGAACCGCTGCTGTAGACCCTTATGCAAAAAGTGCCTTCAACATCAGTGTCTACAACATCCAGGGCGCAGACTCCCACGCCTAGCATGGAAGACCTTCCACACTACGCTTCGTCCCACCTGCCTTTTCGAGTCTTATCGGACACGCACGCACTTCTGCTGCAGCTGCTTCACTGAGTGCCACCCGCTCTGCCACCTGTCCACTTCATGGGCGCACTGTGAACTCACCTCTTCTGTTAATACCATCCCCAATCACAAGTGACAATCCTTCCCTGAGTGCTTAGGGTCACTGGCGGCTAAGTCATTTGTCAAGCAGGTAGACACTGACTTACGATACCTCTTTTATCATCATTAAATGTTTTACTTTCATTACTTTTTCCTTCTTTAAATCTTGATTCCACACTAAATTGAAGAACACGCCCTTCCTTTGGGTTACCAAGTACTGCTAACTCAGAAACTGAGGCTCTTCCAAAGTAGGAATATGTGTGTGTGTGTGTGTGTGTGTGTGTATGTGAATATATGGGAGTGCTGAGCTAGAAGGTCCTCCTCTTTCCCCAGCTCCCGAAACGTTGAGGATGAGCTGGTCTGTGAATGCCCTGTCTTATCCATGTTTGTATGGCCTGTATACCAAGACCGCGCCCTCCTAAAGAAATGTTTCACTCACTTCAATTAAGTAAGGCACAAGATCTCACAAACAGTTGTATCTGAACTGAATGTTTATCAATAAAAAAGGTGCATACAGCTCTGGCAGGTTTGGTTCAGCAGCTGGAGTGTCAGCCTGCGGACCAGAGTCCCGGGTTCAGTTCCTGCTAGCGGCACGTACCCCCCCCCCAAAAAAAAGGCGCATACAGATCAATTAGCCCCCAAACCTGAGCGCTTCATCAGTGACAGATTCATGTCAGCTCCTTGGCAGGTGTGTCACAGGTTTCAGCTGCACATGCCTAGTGTGGCAACCCGAGGTTAATACTTTCCTCAGCCTTTGAAACTATCCAACACTTTAAACCAATTTAGGCACACTGAATAATTTCGCTAACTGCTCAAAATAAAAGAACGACTTCTTACCTTTTTGCTTCTCATATATGAAAGGCGGCCCTCGTGAGCATCAGGGTAAGTGCAAAACAGGTATGTGGTGATGGCATGCTTTAGGAAGGAGTCGCCAAGCATTTCAAGCCGCTCCAGGTTAAACCCATCACTAGCATTGGAAAGGGTCAAAGCCTGAAGGATAAGTCCAGGATTTGGGCCCAGAGTCCTGGAGGAGTATCCAGGGGAAGGGCTCTGCGCAGAGCCCCGCCTGTCCTCGGGCACGGTAACAGCCTCGGTGGTGCCAGGCACCGCGGCCATCACGGGACTGCCACCTGAGGTAGATTTGTTAGCATTTCCATCAAGGTATTTATTACTCAGTAGAGTACATTCATCGCTGGGCTTGGGCTGGTTCTCATAATTGTATAAATTCTGAATGGGATATGAGGTAGTTGGTTGTACAGGTATTTCCTGCTTGTAGTAATTCAGCGGATTTCCTTGGCGAAAGTCTCTGTTAGCTAAATCATAATTGGCGAGATTTCTATTGTAAGAAAGACCATTAATTGCTGTAAGATCTGTTGAAACGTCGATTGGGAGCTTACCAGATGACTCATTGAGTAATGTTCTGCAGGTCACAGACATTTGGTCATGATTTTCTAGAGAGGAGGCTCTATTAGCACCTTGATGTGCAGCATTTTCAGGGACAATTGTGCTGTGCTTACAGTAATTGTCATTTCCAGCTGAAGAGGAGTTAGCAACTGAGATGAAAGATTTGCTGTCGATAGATTTTTTCCACCCGAAGTCTAAGTTAGGGTATCTGCAAAGACATTTTTATAACTTTTCGTCAGATCTTTCCAAAGGTCTAGGCTTAGAGCAAGAGTAACTTGAGTAAAAATAAAGACATACATATGTGTGTGTGTATATACACACATATATATATATATACACGCACATACACACACACACACACACACACACACACTCCTACTTTAGAAGAGAAATGTGTTTCCAAGGCAGAGATCCCCACTACTGGAAGTCTGCACAATGTACACTGTAAAGTGGGATTTGGCTCCCGGAGCTGCTTTAATCCCCTGTCCATAGCAGTGTGGTGGTTAAATCATGAATCCTACTGTCCGTCTGTGGGACAGGAATCCCAGGCCCTCCAGTTAACAGCTGGAAAACGTTGGGCAACTTATATAACCTCTCTATGCCTGAGCTTCCAACTTGGAAGAGGAACTAACAACAATTCCTACTGTTATATTTTAAAGTTTCTCAATCACTAGAACCATCTTCGTCTTCCCAACTGGATAACCAAAATTAATGTGAATGGTTAAACCAATAATTAACCTTAGAATGCAGAAACTTTACTAGTGGGGGAAAAATAATGTGGGAAGAAAATAATGAAGACAAAGAACAAAATGAAGCAACTGCTTTTTAGTATTTATCAGGTTTCACAAAAAGCCACAGCCTTAGAACGTCAGCACAGTAATAAAGGGCTATTTTCACTGTCACTTCAATGACCCTCACTAAGGGAAGATGATGATTTTTATCTTAGTATCTTGTCTCTCTCTGCAACTTTACAGAAACATAGGACTCAATCTATAAATTTTTCACTTTGGAATCAAAAGATGCATTTATTTCACATATTAGACATCCATTTTTTAAAATCTTTTATAAATCATTTTATATAAAATTTAAACTTAAACTTAATTCAGTTCTTTTGCAAACAGGCATACCTAAAATCCACAGGAAGTGATCTGACTCCCACGCCAGCATCGCTGGCCGTCTGAGCTCTTAGCTCCTCTGCGGTCAAAAGGCAGTGAAGGCGATAAAGTATGCTGGGGAGACAGACTGCTTTTCTCCACAGTGATGCTGGAATTGGATGTATAGCACAGAGTTCTGGAACCAGTATCTTAGAATATGAAAAAATGTGAATAGATAAATATAAAGCAAATACACAAAGGGATGAAAAAACAAATTTAAGATCAATCTCATTAATATAAGAACAAAAATCCTAAGTACTAGCAAAATCTTATTTTTAAAAATAATCCTTGAAGGCCACATGGAGTTTATCCTGGGATTTATAAGGATGACTTCATGATATAATTGTGTCAATAGACTAAACATAAGCCAAACTGATGGCTGCCAGGTGGGAGAGGGGAGGGGGCTGAGTGGAAAGGTGAAGGGATTAAGAAGTACAAATTGGTGGTTACAGAATAGTCACGGGATGGGAAGTACAGCATAGGGAATATAGTCAATAATATTGTAATAACTCTATATAGTGTCAGGGAGACATAGGACTTATCAAGGGGATTCCTTGGGTAAAGTTATAAATGTCTAACCATTACGCTGTACACCTGAAACTAATGTCAACTGTAATTGAAATATTGAAAAAAAATTGTTTTTAATAATCCCTGAAAGCCAAATGGGATTTATCGAATGATTTTATTTGAATGATTTCATGATATAATTGTACCAACTGACCAAATATAAAAGCTAAACTGCTCATACTTACCAAAAACACAGTCAAATAAAAGTTAACACATAATATCAGTTAAACAAAAACAAAACCTTAGGGTTGGACAATTTCCAGAATATTTACAAGTCACTTAGTTCACTTGATAATATAGAATTCAAACTTATCTTTAAAGAACAGCAAGTGATGCTGATGCCACGAACTCATTACCTGTTTGTTCTGCAGACTTTCCCATTTGGCTTTCCTCTTCTCAGCACTGCTCAGAGGGAGAGCTTTCCCTTTCTGATTCAAATGGCGAGGTGTCAAAAGATTAAGTCTGTAAAAATTTCAAAACAATGTTATCAAACAGAATAAAACAAGTACACTTTCACAGTGCTTCTCCAACTTCAGTGCTCCCACAAACCACCTAAAGAGCTCCCTTACACCCAGACCCTTGGACCCCACCCCTGGGCAATTCTGGGTGTGAAGGATCTGAGCTCAGGGTCTACGGGTGGACAGCAGCGACAGTGACCTCTCCATGCACCTGCTGACCACTGGGAAAGCCTCAGGTAAACCTGCCTTGAAGAGGTGTGGTCCACATCCAGCAGCGGCTGGTTGAGATTGGTCAGGTCAAGGTTGTACTTTGTTTTATAATATTCTGCAAAAGTTTCATACTCGGGGGAAGGAAATTTACTCAGTGGGGTAAGGTCAGTGTACACATCAGCTACATAAAACCGATGAGGCTGATCAAAATTTCGATACCTGAAAAAAAAAAAAAAAACTTAGTGACTTGTGGTTTACATCAACTGTTCTCCAAACACAACCATTTTTAATATGGAAATGCAAATATGATTTTAAAGAAAGAGTTCAAAAGGTTAAAAATGAAAACTTCAATCCCAAATTATACATTTCAAATGGATTTGAAAAAAAGTACTACATTTAAATCAAGCAAAACCTAACTGACCACTCTCCCCTACTTCATTCTTATCCTTGTCCTAACCATCTACACTTGGATAACACATGGAAGCTAAATGGCACCTTTAAGTACCTTGTAATCTCATCACTGTGAACAGTGTAGAAAATTTCCACTATCCAAACTGAGCGAACGCTTGTACATTACTAATGCAAACCGTGACAGACACTTGCTGCAAGGATGTGTTACTGCAGCGTACGATTTTAAGAACAAGTCCACCATGAAGAGATACCTAAATTTTCTAGTAGACACATCAATGTCAAAAATCACAGCCCACTTACTTTCCCATGTGAACAAGTGTATCTTCTGAAACAAAGTATCACCAGCACTCTGATCCCCACTTACTACTGACCTTGGAATGATAACTGCATCCTGGTAATCTTCCAATTTAAAAACAAAGGGTGCTTCTTTTGAATACTTTGTACTGGGAATGCCTATGCGGGCTTCAGATTTCTCAATATCTTCCATGAATTTAAAGTCAATGTCCAAAGTGCTGGAGTCATTAACTTAGGGAAGAAAAAGACTCTTTTAGCTCATTATAATGTAACAACACAGAAAAGATTCTTACTTAAGCTATATCTTCATATATGTGTCTAGAGTTATCAAAGTAAGAGACTTCTGTGGTATATACCAAAGCTAGTTGTTAAGCAAAACGGTCGTTTTTTGGCTAGTATAAGTGAACATTTTAGAGTCTGGGTCCTTCTTACCAACATTCAGAGGTAGAACACAGTATGCTGAATCAGCGTCTGTGGGTTTAAATTCTAGTGCAGGTTTTTCAAGGCGAAGAATATGTGAGAATATATACTGGTGGAATCTTGTTACCAACTCAAGCATTTGTAGAGGCAACATGAAACCAGACTTCTTCAACTCAATAGATATGGTAACCTCTCCAGAGCGAGTGTACACGGGAAAGTGCGGAATCTTAGCAAAAAGAAAAATAAAACACCCAAAGGTTAACAGGTTTTGTATTCCTTTATAAATATTTAACTTCAGAAGAGGAATGATGCTTTCTATTAGGGAACAGAAGAGATGGCTCAATTTTTAAGTATTAAACATACTGAGATAACAGAAGACAGTCCCTCTGAGTAGTTTTTCCTTCTTTAAAGAAACAATGTATCTAACATAAGCAGTCATCCTGAAGTGTCTTACCTGAGGTATAGGTTTGGCTGTCAGGATTCCAAAGCATCTTGTGGTGTCCTCAGGGGGATAGAGCTTCCGTCGTCTGAAGTTGAGTTCATCAGGTAGCGGTGTCGTCAGAACCATTCCTATGACATATAGGTAACAGGGCTGACCGGGTTTGGGATAGCTGTCCCTCAGACATTCTGGAATCTAGAATTGGAAATAAAAATTAAGCATCAAGCTCAAGTATAACAGCCTCTTTTCCAGATGTTGGTGAGAAAATAAATTTATTCCTGGCTTTACTAGATGCTGATGAGGAAAAGCTAAGGAAATAACTGAGGAAGAGACTTCCTAATTACTTAACCTACTGGAGAGGAAACATTTCTCAGGTCTGGGACACACAGTGGCCCAAGTACACCCACCTTATAACACCCGGTGGATTATACAGCTATAACTAGAAGTCAGATTCGGATGCTTTAGTGCATGAATCCTGCCAATCAGCCTAGACACAATACACGGAAACCACTGATTCTGACTCCTAGCAATATTTGTACCCTCATCTGAACAGGCATCTTTTCACTTGTCTATTTTACCATGTAAGTCCTCTTTTTTCTTAGCCCCAAGCATAAGTAAAACAAGAATCTTATCACTACAGTGAATAAAACAAAGAATACCTTTGTAAACAAAAGAATTTATTCTGGATAAAATCTGACAGGTGAATCTAAGAATCTTTTTGAGAAGGTAAACAGATGCGACCCAGCGCACATACGAAAGCAAAGGGGCTGATCTGGGAGACGGTACAAATGGGGGAGATGAGCGGAGGTCCAGAATGGGCCGAGTTCCAGGGCTCTGGGAAGCCCACAGAGGGACTGAGATCTGGTGCAGCAGGGAAGAAAAAGTCAGAAAGGCTAGACTTTTATTCACTTCTATCAATACTAACTGCTTTCGGGTAGCACTGTCTTCGCTTTGTGGAACCCGGTCTGCCTGGGACACTGGTCTCTTCTTCATCATGCAAATCAAGCTCTTCTTCATATTTAACAGTTTCTTTCCCTACTGGCATCAGATGGTCGTCCAGTTCACCTAAGAAATTTAAAGACAATTGACATAAACAATACAGATATTGCTTCTCTAATTAATTTGTAAATAACACAGAGCAGCACTACGTTAGGAAGCAACTGGAAGAGTAATGACAACTAAAGCATCTTTGCTTAGTAATAAAAACGTAATTGAACGTGATACTTAAGGCAAAGTCTATATTCAATATGAGCAGAATTATAAACTGTTCTAAGTTTCAAAAATAAAAACATCTGAACAGGAAAACAGCACATTGTCATCACTTTATAAAAGCCGTGGAGAACAAGTCTTCCCATTTAAAAAAAAGTGGATTAGTTTATACACTAATGTAGATTTAGTTGGGAGAATATGTTAAAACACAAGCATTCCGGATTCAACAGTAAATGAAAACATTTATGTACGTAAAAGGAGTCAATAAAGAAAGCAGAAGTGACATCTGCCTGCAGCCCAGCCACACCCAGTCACCAGGGCACAGCGAGCGCAGCAGCTCACAGCTCCACAAAATCCGTCGACCTATCAAGTCCCTCACACGCTTTTGTTCTACAATGGTTTTAACTTCATGATTTTTATTTCCACATGCTTTTCAAATGCTTACCAATTTTGTGTAGTTTTTCACAGCAAATAAGAGCTACAACTCTTTCAGCCAATCGTATACAGCTCATTGGTGGACCCTGAAAGTAACAAAACACATTTCCATTGTATATGCATGTAGCTATGTTGTCATTAACACTCAGAACACCTACAAAACCTCTGCCCCAATACCTTTTAAGTTGAAATTTACCAGAAAAAAGTTCTTTATTTTGAAAAAATGTCAACAAGGTTTAAAAAAATCCTATTAGAGAGAGTGGAAAGGAAGGGGAGAGAGATCGAGGGAGGGAAGAAGGGAGGGGAAGAGAGAGAAACAGAGAGCCACTGACGTGAGAGATAAGTCGATGGTTACCTCCCGCATGTACCCCAACCAGGGCCGGAGAACTGAACCTGCAACTCAGGTATGTGGCCTTGGCTGGAAATCGAACCCACCACACTTTGGTGCGCAGGCTGATGCTATAAACCACTGAGCTACACCAGCCAGGGCAGTACTGAACAACTTAAATTTTTTTTCCCCTTTATTGATTAGAGAGAGAGAGAGAGAGAGAGAGAGAGAGAGAGAAAGAGAGAAAGAAAGAAAGTGAGAGGGAGAGAAACAGAAACATCGATGACAGAGAATACTGATTGGCCACCTCCTACATGCCCCCTGGGACTGGGGATCGGGCCCACAGCCTGGGTATGTATCCTAACTGGGAATCGAACTGGCGATTTCTTGGTTCATGGGTCGACGCTCAACCACTGAGCCACACCAGCCAGACAGTACTGAACAACTTTTAATGTTCAATAGAAATTAGTCATATTGGAATATCTAGAAATCAGCATTGGGAGCAAGGACAGCAGTTACTCAGAGATTCTCAAGTCAACAATAAAATAACTAGAGCAGCCCAAGTATCTTTAATAAATTCTGTGTCACTGTAAGTATCTAAGACACAGCTGAATGATCAGATCATAGAGACTTCAGAGGTCATATATTCCAATTCTCAGCCTATGAGTTACATAGTCTATTAAAGACTTGAACATGTAGTTGACTACAAAAGACATTTATATATTTCCTTTTCAAAGTAGATTTAAAACCAAATTTATCTATAAGTTGCACAGGCTTAGAGAAGCAAAAAAAAAAAAAAAATCCGTATGGCACATGTTAAAGGCACACTCATTGCTTTCTCTAAACTTACGACAATGGAGGCTCGAAGAGGCGAGTTAATTGGCAGATACAGAGTTGAGTAGAATGTGCCATCAGGCAGCTCTCGGGTCCTACATTTAGGAGCTAGATGAGTAAACGGGTCACTTGGTAATCGAGCACAATATCTGTGAAGAAAGAGAAATTCTGATGCTCAATCTACAACTGAGAAATAGATGAGAAAAGTTCGTACTGATATTCACATCCTCAAATTGGATTGCTGACGTCCCTCTTCCCCTCTACTGGAGTGGAATTCCCACGTGGAGCTGGAGCTTCACTGTAACTTCCAGCAGGAAGGACAGTGCCGTCTCACAGACTTTCTGTATATGCAACAGGGCAGCCACTGAGCTCCTGAAAAGCAGAGAGGGCAGCTAGGGAACCAAACTTCAATTGTAATTGAAACTGAAATTTGAATTCAAATAGCCACATATGTCTGGTGACTACCATGCTGGACAGTGAAGAGATCACACTGCCAGTGTTTGTTCCTTGATAACCTCACATTTGCCAGCCAGTACTGACACAGGAGGGCCCGAGAACAAGAACCCCAGCAGCAGTTCAGGAGGGTGCTGCTGCAGGGCAAGAAGCTAGTTCACAGGGAGCTGAAGCCGAGCAAGGGTGCTGCTTGGTTAGGAAGGCAACCCATAAATGGAAAGACTGCTGATTGTTTGCATAAGGTAAACAACAATGCAATACTTGCAGATTTAAACTTAAATCTTGTAATACTCAAAGGTTTTCCATGTACCTGCGTTCATACCATACCTATTGATGTGTCCAATGGCCGTGTTGATTGTGACTCGTGGACCACCATCATCAGGCCTCAACACATACGGTGGGAAAATGTCATCGTCATCCACAACAGGCTCAATGTCAGTCTCACCAGTATCAACTGACTTGGAACATTTGTTTCTCAAGATCTGAACATTTGAAAAACAGAATCTGTGATGAGATCAAATGCCCTCTTTGCTGTGTGTGTGTTGTTTACCTCTGTACCTATAGAAAAAGTTCCCTTGACACGAAAGCTCTCTCTTCCAAACACACTTCAATACTCCAGTCACCGCTGCACAAAATTTCTCCCAATGCATTCCTCCCAGGATCAATCATGTGAAGACACTCCTCATACAGGTACAAGGTTTACAGTGTACTTGTACCTACACACACACACACACACGATTACCAGTCTTTCATTAGGATAGGAGCTGTCATCACTCTCAAATCACTCCACAGCTCAAACAAGCAAATGTTACTACACTGTCCACACTAACAGTATACTTTCCAGGCATTCTTCCTCAACAATCCACACAACCATTTTCACTATCTCATTGTAAGCTTTCAAACACTTTATAAAATGCTGCTAGGCCCTGGACAATTTGGCTCAGCAGTTAAGAGCATCGGCCTGTGGACCTGAGAGTGCCGGGTTCGGCTCCCACTAAGGGCACGTACCTCAGTTGCAGTTTGTCCCCGGACCCAGGGTCGTGTGGGTGGTAACCACTCGATGTGTCTCTCTCACATTGATGTCTCTCTCTCTCTCTCTCTCTCACTCCCTCTCTCCTTCCCGCTCTATATGACAATAAATGCAAAAATGTCCTCAGGTGAGGATAAAAAAACAAATGCTGCTAGCTCTTTGCAATTATGTTCAACTTTATCATATATGCAATGCACATACCTATTGAAGCCATTCTTCGTAGATAGAACTGTTTTTATCTATTTCTATGCACATAAAAAAATAACTTAAAGATACCGTCTTAATTTTTGGATCTTACCTTTTCAATAGCTTTGTATGTTTTAAGGTCTTCTTCAAAACTTTTTATTCTGTCCGTATCTGCTAACATTATATAATTGGAGATCGGTGCCCTTGCTCTTCCCTTCGATTGAACGTAGGACCGATACTCCGTGGGCAAATCAAAACGGACTACCAAGTTGCACTTTGGTATATCAACGCCCTCTTCCACAATACTTGTTGCAATCAGCAGGTTGGTCTCATGTGCTCGAAATTTCCTAAGTACCTGAAAAAAAGCCACCAAAAAATAGCAATTCTAAAAAATTTCCCCCAAAAAACAACATAGTAAAGGTAAGTGACAACAGTCATTTCTGTCATATACTCTGGGCATGCTAAATTTTTAAGGCCAGGGTAAGAAAGATGACATCAAACAAAACTCAAGATGCATAAATACACGGGCAAAGAAACTCTGATTTAATGATTTTCAATTGAATATGACTTGAAAAATCAAAGTGCCTTTCAACTTCACAGAGCGTCCATGTACAGATCACAGAAAGCTTTCAGGTCGAAGGGGCTGGCTTCTGAACAGCCAACAAAGTGACCAAACGAATCCACGTCTTGACTCCTGTTGACATCCTGACCCTCCATATGTCTGTGAGACTGTGCCAACATTCTTCCAAAGATGTCAAAATTCACTAATATCCCTAAATCAGTTGGAATTAAAAATGACAAGCAAGGCATTATTTATATTCCCGAATCTTGAGAATTTTTCTATTGCAGAAATCAGAGCTAATTAAAAAATAAAGTGAAAAATTTTTTCTTATTAGATTTAAAATAACATCACTTCCCAGTCTGGGATAAGTTAAATAATCAAGTAAAATGGGTTTTAGACTGATCTATCTGACTCTGGCTATCGGACTCCCCACACTAGGAATATTGGCAAAAGGATATGATGTAGAAAACAGCATCAATGTAAAATTTTCCTGCTATTTTTAAGTTAAATGACAAACTTTAAATAAAAAGATTTTGTTCTTGAGTTAGAACATGACATTAGGTTTTTGAATCTTTACAATGCTATTTCCTATATTAAAATCTTAAAAAGTGTGACAAAAATCTTTAAACAAAACAAAACCCTTTCTAGGAAAAACTTTCCCTTGTCGCCTCAGAGCCCCCTGGAGTCAGCAGGAGTCACGGTTCCACGTGCTGCTCTCTACGAAATGTAGTGGTGTCACCAGGTCAATAAAGGAACGTGAAGTGGTTGATAGCAGTTAAGACACAAAACTGATTGACCAGACAGCAATTCTAATTCTGAACTTATGCATCACTACACACAGCTCCCTCAGAGGAGACAGCTGCTCTAATTTGAACAAGTATTCAAGACTACAAGAAAATGCTGAAGAACTATGAAGAAAGGGAGTTTCTATGGGCAGAGTGTGTCTGCATATGTTCTGAGAACTGTCAATGTACAATTATTTTAACTTAAGTTACCTCTTCCTGTTTTCTGAATTCTGCTTCCATCTGTTTGTTGCGAGGCTGATTCTTTCCGATGCCATGTCCAGTTATAAAATTGCTGCTGATATAAGCCAGCTCTGGATCTTGTTTGCCAGCTTCCTTTATCAATCTAAGAAAATCACATACATTTTGAAGTTAAGCACTGGTGAGGGAAAATATTTAGACCTTGTTTATAAGGTCTCCCTTAAAATGGAAATGCTTGTATTTTTGACCAATACACCTAACAAAATGGTCTTGATCCCTACCCCCACCCCCCAATGTAGCTTAAACAGAAATCACTGCCACTCTTTAGTGAATAGATCTGTGGGCCCAATACTTATAACAACAAATACAGGACTGATTTATACTCATGAATAAAATGGTCACAGTGCCTCAAACTTTCTAATTTGGCAGTGATGACTTAATAGAAATGTGGCCCAGGAGGAGCCAGAGCCAGAGCCAGGCAGAGAGAAGCAGGAATTCCCCTCCATCCTGGCTTCAGGCCACACACCTTCTCAGTACAGGCACGGCCTGGGGCAGCAGGCACGCCCGGTCTCTGCGGCCAGGCTCACAGAGGAGGTACACGCCCTGACCCCAGAGGAAACCCGAGAGTTCAGCTGTGTGCGCAAGCAAGCCTGTTAGTCCTTTAGCCTTACCCACCACCTGGTACCACTGACAGCAGAGCTCCAGGGGGAGAAACGCCTGCATCTGTGATGCGCACATCCAGTCCCAACCCCTTCCTGTCCCCAGGCACAGACCGCGGCGCTGTGTGTCAGATACTGGACTCAGGCAGGGCAGCACCAGACCTCTCCCACCCCGCCCTGGTCCTGCCCACTCCTCTGTGGCAGCCCATGGTCTCCTCACCAAGACAGGCCTTCTAGCTACGACATGGAAGAGCTGCAGGAGGAGATCACATTACACGTACAGAAGGTGAGCAGTTAGCGTTGTCATTACAGCTATTTTGGAAATATCCACATTTAAAAACTCAGCACACACGATAAATGGTTCCACACCTGATGTAAGTGATTCCATATGGTTCTTCTGAAGTCATACAACATAGCATAAATTCCTAATAGAAAACTGCATTTTTAAGTCAAACCATTCTTTTTTTCCTTTTCTAAATACATGAAACAGACTAATATCAAAGAGCTGGAAGAAACTCTGAGTGGCCATCTAAAATGTCCCTCTGCCTCCAGATCAGCACAGCCTGGCATGTCCAGGCCAGTCTGAGAGCCTGTCTACGATGCAAGTACTTCAAATGCAGAGTCAGAAACTTCCTCCATACGTTCCAAGCTCTATTCAGCTACAATAAACTTAGGGTATCTGCAACTAAAAGCAGTGCACATGCAAACAAACAACATGCCCCAAACCTAAAATATAAAATCACCTTAGAAATACTATGCACTTCCAAACCTTAGTTTATGCAAGTGAGCGTCAACTTGCATGCAGTGGAAGTTAAAACAGTGCATTTCAAGTCACTCTTAATTAGGCAAAAAATGTATTTTACTTTGCCAAAATGACCAGTCTGGCAGCCTTCAATCAGCTGAGTTCTCCTCAACAAAACTCGCATCCACACTGCAGAGAGCAGGGGAGACAACAGCACACTCAGCAACACAACCTCTCGCGAGCAAAAATGAAAGGCTGTGTAAGTAGGCTGGCAATGTTTAGAGAAAACACTCATTTCTCTCTGATAAATCGACAGGATGCCAGGTCATGTGCCCAAGGCGGAGCAGCAGGCTTCCGGAGACACAAGGCAGGTGTACTGTGGCAGGCAGCTACCGGCGAGCAGGGCCAGCTGCCAGGGCGCCAGAGGACTGGGAGACAAAATCTCCTTGTTCCTTTCGCCTCTTACCCCGAGCTGCTGCGAGTCGCTCCACAAGCGAGCTGTGTGGTAAACTATGCTGTCCTCCAGCGCACATAGCTTCGGAAACACCTGCAGTGAACTGGTTACTGTTTTTCTCTTATTTCAAATGCATCAGAGACCAATATATTTGTAAAATTCCATGAAAATTAACTACTAACAAAATGAAACTTAAAATCATTAGTTGTACTATATTCAGCAGACCTAACTTACTGTCCGAACGAAGTTTCTGGCTGCTTCCCCTCCACCTGCGCCTGACCCAGCCGGCTGGCGCGGACCTGCCACACTGTGTGCAGATGCACGGTGCCCACCCACTCACACTGGCAGCAGCATGGCCCCAACAGGAAATACATGTGTCAGATTCCAAAACCAGTGGATGTGCTACTGAAAACTGTGATCGACTAAACGTGTTAATTTGGAGGCTGCCATGAGAGGAAAAAATTCAAAGATACAAATACATCATCTGAAATGTCTGCCTGGTACTGAAGTAGGTTATCAATAATACCTTTAATAATCTCCTTACTCCTTATAGTCTCTTATTCATGTGAGAAAATCAAACATAACTCCTGTATGATCTTACCAAAAATAGAAGATCCCTGACAGTTACAATACACTGAGACTATTCCCCACGTGTCTGCACAAAGAGCACCAGGAACTCGCACTTACCATGTGTCAGGTGAGCAAAGAGCCATCTTTAGATGCACTGTCCAAGAGGAGAGGGAGTTACTGCTACTATTGTACAGATGAAGGGGCCGAGGCTTTAAAAAGTAACTTACACAAAATATACCTCAAAAAAGTGGGTAGAAACAACAGGAACCAGAGCCCCTTGGAAGAACGTCTGTTCTAGAGCTGAAGCAGGGAGAAACAAGAGCTTAGCATCCTGCAGCACCACACCACAGACGAGGACGAGCTCAAACACAAAAGGAGGAAGCACAGCAAAGGAGCATAGGCGCTAGCCCCAAAGATGCGGAACCACGTGAGCAATGAAATAAACCTAGCACTAGGTTACACCCCATAGTATAAAATAAGTATGAGTTCTTACTGATAAAAGAACACGAGTCATTAAGTATAAATAGGTAAGTAGGATAAGAGAGACATGTTTTCCTTAAAGAAGAATTTCAGTAACATACATAGATAAGCCCCTTTCCAGGAATGGAGCTTAACCTCACCCTCTGAGAATAAACTAGACTTGGTCACTTACTTCCAAAGATAAAGGAAGAAAAGGGCAAAAGAATAACTCTAGTGGAGAAACCAGCAAGTACAAGTGAACCGTGTGATCAGGTCTAACGTCACTTGTGATGCCCCATGTTGGCTCCATGACCCGATTCAACGGAAGAAGGGCACTTCCTCTCTGTGGTATTCTTCCATATCCGAAAACCCCAGTTAATACTGAGAAACACATCAGACAAGTTCAGACTGAGAGGCATTCTATAAAATACCTGACCTTACTCCTCAAAAACAAGGAAAGACAGAGAAACTATATCAGGCCAGAGATTAGGGAGACATAACAGGTAAAGACAACATGGCACTTTGGTTTACAAAGAGGATATCAATGGGAAAACTGGTGAGATTCAAATAAAGTGTGCGGTTTAGGTCATAGTGACATACCAATGTTAGTTTCTTGGTTGTGACAAATGTGCCATGATAACATTAAGATGTTGATAATAATAATGAGGGAACCTGGGGAGGGGACAGAGGAACCCTGCACTATCTTCCCAACTTTCCTATAAACAAAAGGTTGTCAGGAAAATGCGAGTGTGGGGGTGTGGACTCAGGTTTGTCCAATGTCACGTAACGCTAGTCATTTACAGTGAAAGGAACTCTGGAATCAGAGAACGAAGCCATTCTCTGCACTTCATACCAGTGTCATTCAGTGTTATTTTGGGAGAGTCACAAACTGAGTCTGTTTCCTTGTCTATAATTCAGTAAAAACATCTACCTTCCCCACCTCGTGAAGTATTGTAATAATAAAAAATAAATATATATATAAAGATAAATTATAAACCACAAAGCCCGACATACAAGGCAAAAAGAAAACTATGCACATGAATCCCTACGTTGTACACAGAAGCAGCTGATTATTTATTTTTTATCAGGAGAAGAGAAAACTGCACATGTATTACAACAGCTTTTACTCCCAGAAACTGCTCACTGAAGAAGGGGTTTTTCCTCCCATTAAGTTGATGGAAGGAAAGAATCTGGATTTCAGGAAGTTTTTCTAAGCTTATTAAAAAGCTAACTGGAACAAGACCTCTATTGTATATATAATTAGCTGCCCATAAAGTCAACCATCAAATCGCTCTTGATTCATCATCCAACACTAAATTCCAGCCACATTTTATGAGAGCTGATCACAATTACTCTGATCCTCAAAGTGATTGTTTTTTGATAAACCTTTTCAAGCTAATACTCCTGCAATGAAAACTGGTACATCCCTACATTTAAAAACACATGTACAGAAGGGCAGCAAGGAAAAAAAAAAAACCCATTTCTTCTCTCCAAGCCCCAGAAAATTGAATTCTGAAGCCATCCCGGCAGGGGCGGGGGTGTGTCTAGACCAGGCTCGGGCTGTGCCAGGGGTGAACGCCACCGCCCGCAGGAGCGTCCTGCCCCTTCCAGCCCCACAGCCACTCCTCCTGGCAGCCTCCCATCCAAAGCCCGGTCAGTGCTCTGCGGCACCCAGGGGCACGATGGTGCAGAAAGAACTGGAAACAAGGAGGGAGGATGTCAGGATTCTTGAGTTGTCTCTGTCACTGACTAGCAATTAAACTGAGAGCAAATCACTTTTCCTCCTGAGGCCCTTTCCCGTTTTTACAAAAGTAAGTGGGCTGGATTAGGCAGTCAGGGAAGCCCCCCCCCCCCCCCCCAGCTCCTGGTTTCGGTGTAATCCCCTACCCGGCATTACTTCACTGTGTTCATCACAAGGGTCAGGCCCAATGACTATGAAAATTACCAGACTGCAAACCACCAGACGACGGCCCCAGGGTCCAATTTCTCCTTACTCAACTAAGTTTTCAAAAATCCCAAACCAGTCAGAAGCAGTTTAGGAAAAAAAAAATCCCAAATTACCTAGGAAACAAAGCTTAATTTCTCCTCAGAGATCACCACTTGCAGAAAAGGCTCTGAGGGATCAACTTTGGCCAATTAATGGATCTCAGGGAAAAGTAGATTGTCTGAAGTACAAAATAAGAACCCCCTTTTCTTGGCCCTTACAAAGAACCAAGCATCTGCCCACAACCCCAAACCAGAACGGGCCGCCAGGTGAGCATCTGGCAGAAGCCTGAGGCCCGCCTCGGCAGGCCTGGCCCAGGAAGGACACGCTGCTGCTGAAGAGGGCGCGGGGGCTCCACAGCCTCATCTCGGCTCAAGGCCGCCTCTGCCGACTTTCTCCAGGTGCTTCCCTGGCATTTTACTGTCTCCTGATTCAGGACACTTTAACAGAGTCTACGAACCAATCCGAATTGCGAATCCAATTGTTCTAAACTTTTTCCATGGCCAACTTGAATCAACACTTGCTAAGAAAAACAGCTAGCACAGAAAATTAGCCGCGACCCACATAACATCTACCCAGAGTCCCTTCGGGAGAAAGCCCGCTGTGGACGCTTAACAACGCCGCGCACAGCGTCAAGGACAACGTGGGACTCGAAGCTCACAATGACTAAACAAGGAATGCTTTACTGACTTCTTCTGTCCTCACTCTCCATTTCAGATGAACTGGGACAGGTTGGCATCCCTGAAGGAAAAGTCTCAGCCATGGGAAATCTAGCCTTAGAGAAAGTGACTGTGCACACATCCTCCCTGTCAATGCGGCCGGCACTGCCTGTCACCTGCCACTGGCTCTGCAAGCTGTCCCAGCAGACCACCGCACAGAACAAGGCTGCCTGCTTCACTGTGGGGAAGTGTTCACCTTAGAGTTACCTGTTTAAGACAACTGCTGTGTATCTTCTTTCCACAAAAATAATTCCGCATAAAATGTTGGTGAATGGAGAAGGAAAATTTGTCTCTGGCTTCTCCTTTTCTTCAATTTCTTCATCCTCATCATCATCCTCAGAATCACTCCAAGACACGTAATTGTCCTGGTTCCTGTTGTTGTACCACTCGACGCTCTCGAACTGCTGCCGCTCGTACGGCTTGTACTTGCGCAGGATCTCGAGCAGCTTGATCACTTTGGGCGTGACGAACTTCAGGTCCAGCGAGGCAGGGGAGAAGTGCTCTTCACACAGTGCATGTATTTTCCGTAGGAAAGTGTCTGTAAACAATAGAAATTTCCTGTGTAGCTCCTCTTGCTCATGTTTGATGTACTTCTGCAGTTCTCTCACCATCATTCCAGCTACTTTATCTGCACACCAGGGTCCCAGAACCACCAACACCGCGCGGCAGTCGGACAGTATCTACGAAAGAATGTGAAGAGCCAAACGCTACACAACAATCACGGCACTTTCCTACGGGGTTTGACTGGAGTTTAAGTTGTCTTCAATCTGCTCCTTCAAAATGAATGTATCCCACATATTAACAGAACCACTGAGGTAGTACCCTAAGGCTGTGGGGAGGGACCGGTGGTCCTCTTAAGCTCTACCTTTCCATATCTATCTATCCATCCAGAACGATTCTTTTGTTTTTCCCAGCAAAAATAATCAAATAATAGAAATTAAAAGATGCACTTGTATAAGGAAAATGAAACTTGATTTTAGATCTGGGATTAGTCAGAAGGACGCAGTGCGCGGAGTCCCGCGGCAGGGTGTCACTGCAGGTGTCGGGAGAGCAAGCCCACTCTCCTCTGACAGTGCGCCCAGAGAGCCACGCCGCACAACCCCCGGCAGAGCAGAATGTGAACCACAGCAGGTGACTGACGGGGCTTCTGCAGGCAAGTAAAAGACAGACTGGGCTGAGCATGGGCTTACTGAAAGTTCAAGGGCTGAGGAGTCTGGACATTACTGCTTCAGAAAAAAATCTGCAAGAGAGAAATTAAGATGCAGATTCAACCCCAGTGTCAGCACTCACAAATGTCCGCAAAATCCTAGAACAATGGTCCTCAAGTTTTGTGCTTTTTTAAAAAAATCCTCACCTGAGGATATTTTTCCATTGATTCTCAGATAGAGAGGGAGGGAGGGAAGGAGGAAGGGAGGGAGGGAAGGAGAGAGAAACATCGATGTGAGAGAGACACATCGACTGGTTGCTTCCCACACAACCCCAACCAGGGCCAGGGATCAAACCCGAGACTCTTCGGTCCACAGGCCGACATTCTAACTGCTGAGTCAAACCAGCCAGGGTAACTGAACAGCTTGCCAATCTCAGCCAGCTGGACCCCACCCCCAGCTTCAGATTCAGCAGGTCAAGGGTAAGCCCAAAGTCTGCATGTCTAACAAGTTCCTGGGGGTGCCAATGCTACTGGTCTGGGATCCACACTTTGAGAACCAGTATCCTAAGGGATCTCTTCTCAAAGCTGGATCCCACTCAGGGATGACAAGCTCATATCCAGTTACAAAGAAACAGCAGAAAAATTTGTTTAACCAAAGGGTTTGAGCAGGAACTAACTCATCTAACCAAGAAATAAAAAAAACTGAACTCACTCCTTTTATTCAAATAGCCATGACATGAATCCTAAGTCATCTCTTGAATTAAGGAGGGCTATACTTAATAGAAATGTCTGTCAGGTACTAGTATACTCGTTCCAATGTATATTCAATGAAAAATGTCCAAAGAGATAAGAAGGTAAGGCCTTAATTTAAAAAGTACAGAAAATAGCCTAAATAGAAGCATACGTTCATTTCAATATAAAAATAAACACAAGCTGCCCAGCTCAGTGATTGAGCATGGACCCATGCACCAAGAGGTCACCTGTTTGATTCCTGGTCAGGGCACATGCCCAGGTTGTGGGCCCGATCCCCAGTGGGGGGCATGCAGGAGCGGCCTATTGATGTTCTCTCTCATCCATGTTTCTATCTCTCCCTTTTCCTTTCTCTCTCTCTAGAAATATCAAAAAAAAATGTTTAAATAAACACAAGTCTTTTATTCTACATCCTATACTTACTTTGTATATGCTTACCTGTTTAGAAATTAAAGTAGAATCTCTTTCTTTTGAATGTACAGATATGTTACAGTCGTTGACAAAATTAAGTGCTTCCTCTAATTCCTTCAGCAGTCTTTCATAAAGCCCACTTCTGTCCATAAATGGTCCACAGTCTACCACAATCTCATATGGCTGAGAAGTATATCTTTAACATCAGAAATAAAAGCTGTTAATACTACAATAAATTCACGACTGCATTATGATCCACTACATACCTAAAGCAAGTAAGAAACCCCTATACTCAGTCCGCACACCGACTTGGGTAACGAGCAGCACACAGGCCTTCCTGAAGTGGTGCTCTCTCATGCCCACACTGCCTGTGCGCCCATTAGGCTCAAGGAATGGCTGCAGAAAGCTGACACTCAAAGAATTCTGTGAATTCATTACTGTGCCAGGTTTTTTATTTTGTTTTTTAGGTTTAGACTTTCATCTTTTGCCTCCTTGGAAACAATGTTGGTCAAAATACTCATGAAACTCAATAATGATTACTTTTCAGAAGCAGAAATCAGGGATGGGGGATAGGTCATAGGGGTAAGTGTTATCATTAAATTGATCCACTTTCATACTATTTGAAATATATAGCATTTGCAAATGTCAACTTTGTTTTTAATGTGTTTTTAACATCTTTTGACATAGGGAAAGCTCCCCCCAACTTTCAGCCAATTACAGTAACATTCCTTGGATCTATCATGCCTTTCATAAAATGACAACCAGAATGGCACATAATATTCTAAAAGCACATACAATAATTAATTAAGGAAAAGAAATACAGTAAAGACATATTTAAACACTAGTTTTCATTATTCTCAACCAAAATCTATACTTAACCAAAGAGTCACATTTAGAGAACTAGGTAATGCCAAATTCAAATTACTTAATGAATTTACTTAAATGCTCTAATACCTCTAACTTTCCTTGAAGACTTCAATAATACAGGTCTACCAATCTAATTCAGGCTGCATAAAAGCAAGTTTACTGCTATATCATAGATTGTTTCCGCTCAGGGAAGTCAAATATAGCATGTCCTAAAGGTTTTAAGATCTGTATTTCAAAGGGCATTCAAATACCTAAGTTCCATAACCTGAAACGTTACCTTTTCTTCTCATTCTACAAAGAGAACTTTTATAAAATTCTACTAAATGGCAGGCACCTTGCAATGTGTTTTCTAGGTGTCAATGTAATTAATCATCAAAGAATCCCCTGAAACCAGTGTCAATGCCATTCTACAGACACAGGAACAGTAAATGACTCACTTGAAGTCACAGAGCTTACAATTAGTGGAACCAGTATTCAAAACCCATGTCTGATTCAAATCCATAACCTGAGCAATTAATCTCTATTTATTATAAATGTTCCAAGAGCCACGACTTGGTAATCTTTAGCCTTGTTAAATACTCCATTTGATAAGAATATAAAGGTATTTTTATATAAATTGGCTAATACGAAATTTACATAGGCTCCCTTCCACGAATTTAAATCAAAAGCGTGCATGTGTGTTTTAATGAAACTTAAAATAGCAACTTCCTCAAAGAGACACACCTAGAAATCATAAACATCTTAGAAATTCACACCCATTTTCAAAACTACAGGGTGTTTCCAATGATTTTAAAGCATCTTGCAAAGCACTAAATTCTCTAATGTTCTTTCACACCATCACATGACATTTAGGTCAGAAAAACAAAGGACTGTTCACGTTCCCAGTCCTCATCAATATCAGCAAACGTGAAGGGCCAGCATTTATGCAATATTCTCTCCTAAGGCAGGAACGCCTCAATCTGCTGCTCTCTGTGGAAACAAGGTTAAATCCCTGCGTTCGCCAGTAACTGTCCTGATCAAGAACTTCTAGTCTTGCTCTTTCCTTCTAATAGCCATTGGTTACTCTTAAGCAGGTGCTGTCCACAAGGCCCTGAAAGGTAACGGAGGCTCAGTCGGCTCCAGCTGGCCTAGGCACACCAAGTCCACCGTAAGTGCATACCTGTCTAAGACCACCAAGTCCACCGTAAGTGCATACCTGTCTAAGACCACCAAGTCCACTGTTAAGTGCATACCTGTCTAAGACCACCAAGTCCGTTGCAGTTTCAGCATTACTCTTAAGAATTTTCTCCAGTTTCTGAATCTTTTCTTCTAATTCCTCTGGATCACATTTCCCATTCAAAATGGAAGCAGTTAGTCCCAAAATACGAGGGCATGATGGACAACTTTCACAGAGCTAACATAATAAAAGATACTAACAGTGAGAAATTCATTTTGCAAGGCCATAACAAAAGAGATAACACCATATTAAAACATGTCAAGAAGACTGACAAATACTAAAAGTATGACTTACAGAATTATGGTAGTTTGTTTAAAAGCTCTGTTTATCAAAAAGGCAGATTTGTTATGTTTAAATTTTTATTAGATTTAGCTTATAGATTATATATTATAGCTTATTACTGTAAAGATGTACATGAACATTAATTTAATATTAATTCATTCATACACTGGAACAAAGTTCTCAAAACTTGTAACTAATATTATCTTTTTGATATATAAAAACACTGCTTTTTATATATTTAATAACTTGACCTGAATTATTAAGACTGATAAAATATAAAAACTTACCTTCATAATTTCTCGGTAGGGGTGGTCTAGGATTGCAAGATGACACTCATCAAACACCAAAAGGTTAATGTCTGACAGTGACAAGTAACCATTTTTCAAAACAATCAAGGCGACATAGCAAGTCATAATGAGAACCTAAAATGAAACCGACATCAGTACAAACAAATGTGTCATTCGCCTGCCTGGACACACTTATATGAGAGGAAATGATGGAGCCACTGTATTATAGGTAAGAACTAAGAAATCCACTCGTCAAAATTAAAACAAAAATTCTAAATATATGAACGCTTGTACTTTAGAACCAAGAAGTAGAATCAGGAAAACATGAAACTAAGAGGAAAACATTCTTGATAATGGAAACCATGTTTTTATGATAAATCTTAAATCTACTTCAGGTTTTCAGGTTCCTACAGTCATATTTTGACTAATGAGACCTGTCGATTCAATCAAATCACAAAACAATTCACACTGGTTTTTTCCCCATTGAACTGACTAGGTTTTCTGGAAGATGACAAAAACTACATGCTCTTTTTTTCTTTAATCAAATTTTTTTCCATTGCCATTTATCCACCCTACACCCTCTCCCACCTCCACCCACCCTCCTCGTGCCCCCGCAATCACCATACTGTTGTCCATGAGCTCTGTCTCTTTTTTTGCTCAATTCTTCCATACTCCCTGCCCACCACCCCCACCACCCCCGAGCTGTCTGTCTGCTCTCTAGCTATGAGCCTGTCTCTATTTCGCCTGTTAGTTCAGTTTGTTCATTAGATTCCACATATGAGTGAAATCATATGGTACTTATCTTTCTCTGACTGGCTTATTTCATTTAGCATAATGCTCTCCAGGCCCATCTCCAGGCCCATCTACTGTTGCAAAGGGTAGGATTTTCTTCTTTTTTTACTGCCGTTAAATGTTCTTTTTATAGCTTATCATTCTGTGGACATTTAAGTGCTTTTTAAATGCAAACTTAACCCAATATGTCAGACATACCAGCAGACTTGTATGTAGACTGTTATAGGTTAGTCAGGAAGCAGCTCTTAACCACTTCAGATCCACCAACATGTTCAACACACAAAAGGCCCTCAACACATGCTGGCTACATAGAAACGTTAAGTTAGAGGCAGTTTCATCAAAGACCCAAAGAGCTCAACCAAGAAATGTCTCCAGTTTCAAGACATTTAACTCAAGAGTACGTTTTTTAAAAGCATGTTATCTGAAAGTTGGAAATATGTAGTCAAAGTCTGTGCTTTTCAAGCAAGTGAATCATACTGTGAGGTAAGAGCAATACTAATCAGCCATTTATTTGGCTTAGGATGAGACCCAGGGGGAGGAAGAGTGCACAGGGCTAGTTTCTGGGCTGACAAAGCCCAGGAAAGTCATTTTCAAGTCCAATGCAGACAACCAAGCTACCGGTTGTCTTATAAACCAAGTCAAGGACATGTAGGGATTTACAGAGTGAAATTTCTCTACAAGTCTTACCTGGTGCTTAGTAAACTCTTGGTTCCATTTCTCTTTTGTCCAAGATGCATTTACTTCCAGGTTTGAGTATTCTCCAACCTTGAGATCTGAATGGGTCCTGACAGCTGACACTTGCTGAGCAACCTGGTTTGCTGATTACAAAGAGAAACTCCATGTAAATATGAGAAGCTGGCTCTAGTTGGTTCCCTGAACTACTGATGATGAAGACAGCTAAGGAAATCCTTGTTATTATGTATTATACCTAAGTACCTATATTTTAGATATTTCCAAAATGCACTTATTAGACTCACCACCCTGCCTCTGTCACTCACTTCAGAGAACCTTGTACCACCTTCCTTCTTTATAACTGATTTTCTCCAACCTAAGAATATCCCTTCTAGGCTGGAATGGTAACTATTCCAGTTCCATCCCTCCTGTGTTTCTCCAATAAAATCAGATCGCTTCACTAAGAAACACTACAGACTAACATGTATTTGCAGCACAGAAGAACATCACATGCTGAGAGTATCTTCAAAAGAAGAAGAGTAGCATGGTTGTACTAGTGCCTCACAGCTCAGGTTCACATTTCATACCTTTTATTTTAATACATAATCCCAAACACATAAAACCAGTATTTTAAACTTACTGAATATCTTATAATTCCAAACACATAAAACCAGGATTTTAAACTTACTGAGTATCTAACTATTAAGAAGCATCTAACTTTCTTTCTACAACTGATATAGCAAAATCACAAGTCAAAAAGTTACCTATCTCAGAAATAAAATAACCGTCACACTTAGAATACGTTCCAATAGTAATCCATTAAAAAATGCAGCCCTGGCTGGTTTGGCTCAGCAGTTAAGAGTGTTGGCCCTCGGACCAGAGAGTCCCAGGTTCAGTTCCCGCTAAGGGCATGTACCTCGGTTGCAGTTTGTCTCCAGCCCTGGTTGGGGTCATGTGGGTGGCAACCAGTCAATGTGTCTCTCTCACATCGATGTTTCTCTCTCTCTTCCTCCTGCTCTATCTGAAGATAAATGCAAAAATGTCCTCGGGTGAGGATAAAAAACAAAACAAAACAAAACGCAGAATCAGCTCGACCTGTGGTTGAGCATCGACCCATGCACCAAGAGGTTGCCAGTTCGATTCCTGGTCAGGGCACATATGTGGGCCAAATCCTGGGGAGGGGTGGGGGTGGGGAGCATGCAGGAAGCAGCCAATCAATGTTCTCTTTCATCAATGTTTCTCTCCCCTCTCTCCCTATCCCTTCCTCTCTTTCTAAAATGAATTAAGAAAAAAATTTAAAATATATTTTTTTAATGCAGAATCAGAATTAAATGCAACATTTCAAAGAAAAGCTGGTTTAACAGCTGTGACATAAAATGGCTAACATTTAAGAGAAATACCACAAAGTTAAGAAATAAGCAGCTCTCTATCAGAGCTGCAACAAGTACATTACTCGTCAAACTCTACATTTCCAATAATTTAACCCAATGCCCACAAAGAAAATCTCATCACTTTCCTCCACATAATGTGATAAAGTAATTTTTATTACCAGAGTTGACCAAGAACACCGTCCTTTTTCCATGTCTGTTGAAGTCTCCCCTGATCTGATAAGACAGCTCTTTAGTGAGTAGTACTGCAATAAACGTCTTCCCTGAGCCAGTGTTCAAACAGACTATGGTATTACGATCCAGAGCTGCTTCAAGCAGTTCAACCTGGAAATACAGTGGAAAAAAAGATTATACACTTCTTATTGAAGTTCAAAACTTAGAAAATGAGATTTTCTTTTAATTCAGGAAAATCCACTGTTTTCTAAAAACTTCCTCCAATAAATTTGCCCAAAAGCATACTTTCTGTATCTGTACATACAAATAACAATCAGAGGCATTACAATGCCTGTTCTATAGAGCTGTGCTGTATACCCATGTTAAAACGCATTTCCAATTTCCTTAAGAAAGATATTTGCACGGACAGACTACTTCTCTAGAATTATATGAAAGACTAAATTTACAGTAACCAGGGTTCTGCCAGTTCACAGGCGTTCAAACCAATCTCAATTCCTACCCAGCTCATGAGGACAGACACATCCAAATGGATATTAAGGAACCACAGTTTTTGGAGGAACCAAGGTTTTTGGAGGGGGGAAAAAAATAAGGAACTTCACAAATAAAACTATCAAACCAATTACTCAGCAGATGTTAGAAAAGAAAAGGATTATTAAGAACAAAGATATCTGGAATGAGAAAATTAATCAGAAGAGGAAAGCTTAAAAAGGTAAATGAGTTTTATAAGTTGTGTCAACTATATGCTAATTTATTTCGTTTTAGTGAAAATGCTCCAGTATTAGTGTTCTCATTAGTACCTGATATTTTCTTGGCGTATAAATGTTATCATGAATTGCTTCTTGTTGCCATGGCAGTCCAAAGAAAGGACCCATTGGTGAGGAAGCAGGGGTCATGAGCTGCAGGCCTGCCATGCTGAGGGGTTGCAAAGCAGGGCTTTTCATTCATCCAGTGTTTCTTTCATTGCATTTTTGTTCTAGCAGAGCTTACTACAAAAGGGAAAAAGAATACCATTACACAACCATGCAGGGTTAAAAACAAAAGAAAGCACAGAAACAAGAGAAACATCAGAATATCACCCCTATGGGCCTTTCAAACTCTTCCCATAACTGTTTCAGCTTTTTCTTGATCTAAGAGGATCGTTTTAAAAGTCAAGCATTCTATTCTCTCCAACCCAGCAACCCTATCCCTAGAAACTTGTCTAAAGAATTAGACAACTGTACAAACATGTATGCACATGAACATTTATTGCTGCATTATTACTAAGAACAAGAAATAACTTTAAATGTATTAATAAAAAATTAGCTAAGCAAATTATGGTATGCCTATAATGAAATACTTTGAGTCCATTAAGATGATACATATCTATATTTACTAAGAGAACTGTGCCCTTGATATGTATAATATGACACCTTTTAAAATATATGTATATATAAAACATGTAAGCATATACAAAAATACACTTTAATTGTCGTTTGTAAAGTCCACTATGCTATTACTGATGAAAAGACAAGGTGCGGAAGGCACTCAGCTCTGTGCCTGTAGAGGAGAGAGTCAAATGCCTGCCAACATTTAGTCATTTCATCTAAAGACCAAAAAACATAGGTCTTTTTCTCAACTATCAACCTAGCACAGATGATCAACTATTCAAATATGTATCTTTAGAATTATACATATCCTAGATAAGTTAAAACAAAGCACACCATTCTGTGAAATGATAGCTTTACATGGTATCTAAGCACTCCTGTGTATTTCGTGTCATCTTTCCCAAAGATATGTAAAACGGCAAAATAAAAATGGAGCCTTTCTAAAATTCCTAATGTGCAGATAGAGGTTCTGGGTTTCAATTCTCTCTGTCAAAGTCCAGCATCAGCTTTCCTACTGTCAGCAGAATTCACTGCCCGTGGAAGGGAATTTTCTCCCCTGTGCTGCTTTGGAGTGTTCACTGTTATTACTCTATGAAACTGAAAAGAAAGGATACAGCTCTTTGTTCCTTGACAACAAAAACGTTGAATCTCCTGACACATTAAATTTATAACCTTGGTACAACACAGTGACTTCAGTCGTTGCATCTAATTCAACGAGTCTCAAATGTAGTCCTCTTTTTTGCACAGGCACAATACAAATTCTGATTTCAGGGATTATTTCAGTTGACTAGGATTCGTCATCCACCAAATACAAGTGCAATCTCGGGCAAGTGGAACAGGGGCATACGGCTGCAGGAGCCACGGACCTCAGCAAGGCATGCGCCATCTGTGGACCAGACAGTACAACCCTTCTCATTACCCTTCTTGGAGGAAGACAGAAAGCAAAGTATCCAAGAGCACATTATGAAAAACTACCAAGTCATTACTTTCCTTGGATCAAAGAAACAATCTGCTCATTCTCCATGAACCAGAGCCCCAGCAGCCATTCCTTTCACCCCACACTAAGCGTTCACTTTTCTCAATTCTGCACGCCCACAGGATGCACACCCTCAGGCTCATCATTCAAGCTTTTTACTCAGCACAGCTGCCAAGAATCCAAAGTGGAAACCCACTTCACCTATCTTCCCGAGACCCCACAGGTCACTGTGAAGGTCAAGCCTGCGATGTGCAGGCCCCTCCCACCTGGTCACATTCATGGGCTGCCGCAATACTGCTCCGTCCTTACTACAGGCTGCTTCCTGTCTAAGATTATGTATTCTTACGCCTGATCCCTCACTTTCCGCCCAACCCAAATCACAGATGTGGTAGAAGGCATCTAAATCCAGCGGAGGATGGGGTAAAAAGAAGAGGGCAACAGTGTAAAACTCCAAAAACACCTTCCTCTACACGTACAACCGAGAATTGAGACCTCTCCTTCCTACCACAATCACACATCAGCATTTCTTCTCATACAGATGACATCGGTAATTATAATAATTAATAACTCAAGAAAATAATTGTCCAATTACAAATGGGAAGAATATTTTATTTTTTTAAACGGAGGTCTGTATTCTTCAAAAAATGTATCATAAAATACTAAATAAGAATAATAATAATAACCTATGAAAATGTTCCAGAGTAAGACAATTACCAAGAGACATGACAACTAAATGCAGAAACTAATCTCAGACTGGATCCTGTATGGCAGAACAATGCCGCAAAGCACATTATTGAGTCCACTGATAGAACTGCAGAAAACAGCGTTGTTAAACTCACCGAAGTTACTAAGTGCAGTATGGCTATGGGCTATATAAGAGCTTATCCTTTCTTAGGAAGTATACACTGAAGTATTTAGTGGTAAAAGGCCATGATATATGCAACTTATTCTCAAATGGTTCAGAAAAAGAAACCACGTACACATGCTGTGTGTGTGTGTGTGTATGTGTGTGTGTGTGTGTACACACTGATAAGCAAATGGGGCAAAATGGGTAAAGCACATATTCTTTGTCCTGTTCTGAACTTGCAACTTTTTCCATAAGATTTCAATCATTTCCAAATAAATATTTGTAAAAAGTAAATAAATATGACCAACAAAACCAGGATGTCCTTGAGTTCAGGAGCTGTATGTCTTGCACACACCTGTGTCACCACTGTACCAAAGCACACCTGGGACAGGGCAAACAACCATGTTTGTAGAATGAACACAATGTCTACGTGAGTGACATAAAAACCTTCAAGCAGCCTCTTTTTGCCTTTCGTAATTTATACCATGCTGCATATTCAGAGACACCTTCGCACACCTCATTCTTCTACTGGCACACATGCTCCATAAGAACAAGATGTGCAATCCCATTCTCCGCAGCTCTTAAATTTCCTCGTACATGTACCATATACACACTTAGATAAATAAATATTCAATGAACTGAATCAGAGATTCATGAATGTCCACACAATGATGTATAGAACAGAATCATAGACAGCTCAAAAACTATTTTAATTTGGTTTAGAAATCCTCACCCACCCAGTCCTCCTGGCCTTGAAGGGTGTAGCAAGAGAGAGGGTATGTAAGGAAATGGAGGACAGCAATTTAACCCTCCAAGTTATAGTTTTCATAAGGATATAACATTTACATTAATTTTCATTCTTTTAGTATACAGTGGCTGGTCCCAGTAATATACTTCCTATTTAGGGAAATCAGATCCAAGATTTAAAAATTCAACAAGTAATCCAGTAATGTGAAAGCAGAAAAACCTATAATTTTGCCAATTTTTACTTTCTTTGTCGTGTTGAAATAGATTTTTCCCTTAACTTGGCCTTAATGAAAAGCTGAGTCACTGCTGGTAGGTACAAGCACTACAGTTCATAGATGGACTGACTACAGTTAACTGCTTTAGCCAACAGTAACTCCACCTGACAGTTTTTCAAGCACAGATTTTAAATTTCTGCTCAAACAATTTACACTCATGAAATCGGTGTGGCTGTTTCATACTTTCCATATATTACTCACTTAGAAACAACTTAGTACAACACACAGATAAACTCTTTTCCACTTTCACACAGAATATATCGCGGATTTACCGTTTTAATGTCTGAGACCTCTGTGTTGCTGTTGTCTGAACTGCATTTTGACATTGTGATAGCAGTTTACTGGGAAATCACAGCATGCCCATGCTTCTGCTCTAAAAATAAATGCAAAAATAGCCAATTTTAAGATTCCTGTACTTGGACTAAAGATAAACACATGTATAAGCGTGCCTTATTGGTATGAAGAGTTGAACAAAGGCCATTATTTTTGTATTAAACTGTAAACAAAAGACATTTGGGTTATTTTAGGATAGTAAGTTATTCTAAAACAAAGAACAAAAGAAGGAACAATAGCAGGCCTAATTACAAGAGATGTGGGGGAAAGAAAAAAGTTCAAGTAAAGACTACAATTAATACAAGGAAATGAAACAAAGTAAATAAATTCTAAAGATAGCAACTAGGAAAATGAAACAAATAAAAGGATAAGTATATGTTATTTCCTAAATTCACATACACAAAAGAAATAATGAAGACCACCAGAAAAATCCAATCACCTAGTAATAGGTCTTCAATACGTGTATAAAATGTATCAGCCATTTCAAATTCTCAAAATAAAATTAAAAACACTAACTCAAAGAACAGTTAAATCCACACTATAAACTCTTACAGAACTCATTTATGAATAAAAGAATTCAGGAAACAGTTCACCAATGTTAATACTGTAGAGAAATTTAAATTTAGGAGTGGTTCTCCTAAAAGAGATTATAAATCAAAAACTAGGAAGCACAAAGTATTGAGATGCAAGCTTAATTTCATCAACAAATGTGGATTCTGTCAGGTTTGACCCCAGATTTTATTAACTTACTGCAACGCCTCTACCAGCACAAGTTCAGGAAGAAAACCGGCAGTGGTCTCCTTTCTCTTATCTAAGTCCCGTCTAGTTGTTTAAAGAACATTCCTGTGGAGGTTCAACTCTCTCATTTCATACACAAATTTACTTTGCTAGTAAGTTAACAAAGCAGAATGGGGAAACCTTAACACTATTCAAGTATGTACATATTTACCTCAAAATGCTGATTCTAAGTTCTTTCAGTTTCCAAGTCTGTATTAATTCATACCCTAGGTAACCTAAAAGCAATCAGAGAGAATATTTTAGAACATCAAACTTATTTTTAAAAATCAACTTTAAGAAATTTCCTCCTGAACAAAATTTTCAAATTTAACTTATCAGAATAAGATCCCTGAAAAAATAATTTAGTTATCTACTGGGAGTCAAGAAAACAGTACAAGTCTGAAGGAGCTACCCTTTAAAATTTGTTATTTATTTATTACATTCTAATACAACTGAAAAATTTTAAAACTTGTTAATATATGCCCTGGCCGGTTTGGCTCAGCGGTTAGAGCGTCAGCCCACGGAACAGAGAGACCCACGTTCGGTTCCCACTAAGGGCAAGTACCTAGGTTGCAGTTTGTCCCCGGCCCCGGTTAGGGTCATGTGGGTGACAACCACTTATGTGTCTCTCTCATATTAGTGTTTCTCTCTTTCTCTTCCTTCCTCTCTCCCTCCCACTCCATCAGAAGATAAATGCAAAAATGTCTTTGGGTGAGGATTTAAAAAAAAAGTCGTTAATATAATCTAATATAAGGACAAATTTTCAGCAGCAAATTACATTATCCCCCAGTAAAATCTTGCTTTAAAACCACTTAAACACAAGTCAGTATCATGCTTTACATGAACATACATTTATCTCCCTATCTCCTAGTTGTCATTTCGTGCTTCCTACAGCTACCTCACATTTCGACTTATAATGACTTATAATTCCATTCCATACTGCCACCGAGTAAGAGGCAAATTCAATACACCAACGTCACTCTCTCCCTCTTTTGTAATTCATATCCACCTTTTTTCTACAAGCACCATAACCAAAATAATAAGCTGATAATCCTTTAAAATGCATTGCAGCCCTACTATTACTGCTGAGTTATTCAAATTATTCTCCTAGACAATTCTTTATGGATACATTAGAAAAGTAACATGCCAAGTACACTGAGAATTTTATTATGTTCATAATACAGAGCCAATAGGTCACATTTTCTCATTTTAATTGATGACCACAACTTAAATTACAAACACGCAAATTCCTGTTTGACAGGCCCCTTTATAACTCTGAAAAAGACATGCCACATATCAGACACTCTGTCAAGCTTTAGTATAAACCCACAACTTTAACCCACATTAGAATCTAATCCAGGATATGGCTGTGTCCTTGCACACAAAGGCTTGTAACAACAGATAGCCAACCTTCTTGTCTGAAGTCTACAGGCAGCTAGAGCTTCCTGCTACACATTTTCAAAACTGATCACAGAGAACTTCCAATTCATTCATTTTCTTGTAATGTGTCATAAATTCTGATACTATTAACTTTACAAATAATAATGTCCAGATTTTATTCCTACTCTTGTGAAGCCCAAAAGTACAACTACCATAAAGTCCCATAGTGAACAAAAGAAAAACACGAACACTGTGACATTAAAACATGAGCAAAACTACTTTGTGACAGATAAAACTAAAAACTGTGTGAAGAGCTTTTAGTTCCTAGCAACTAACCAGAAAAACAATTCTGAGATATTCTAAATCAAAATTACAGAGGCTAGAGAGACAGAAAGAGCAGTTAGCCCGTTAATAGCACTGAGCCAGCTCTAACAAAAGACTGCTCACACTCCTGGCCTATGCTAAAATTTTGGATTCATTTTCAGGTGGCTATTTCCCCAATTATTCTAAAGAGAGACAAGCCAGGCACCTTTGAAATCCAGAAACCTTGGCTTCTCATTTACACCTGAGCTTTCCAGACCTGCCCATCTCCTTCCTATCCAAGGCTTCCCTGGACTCTGCGCCTATCCTAGAAGTAGCTCCGCTTCATCTTCTCCTGTCTTCTTTGTCTACAGCCAATGTCAATTTCTTCAAAATGGCTTACATCTTTCTCCCCCCTCTCGATGTATAAAAACACGTGCAAAACTCCAGGAAGATGAACATGCCGCCTTCCCACCAAGCCATGCTGCTGCTGGTTTATTTAGGTTCCACACCCCAAGACCAGTCTCCTTTGCTAGCGATGGCCTAATAAACCCTTTCTTTTAAAGATTTTTCACGATGCAAGTTAAATTTTTTAACATATCAAATATTCTATGGTGATCCAAGGCATAACTCCAACCAAGACTAAATTGTTAAAGGCACCCTTGGCTCTGGATACAAAGTGACAGCTTTATATGGTTGCTTCTAAGGTTATTAGTATAAGAGCAACATTAAAAATAAGAGGCTTAATTCTCCCAGATAAAAATGAATGAGATTCCTTCCCCACCCTTTTTTTACAGAATTCTTTCTCAGTCCTTTTCAAATGTATGTGACTCTTAAAACTCCAGCTCTTCTCACTCACTTCTCAGGAATGTTTCCTTAAGGACCTGAGAACCATCTCTGAAATGTAATCAAGAAAGATAATGCCCAACCTCCAAGTTTCCTAGGAAGAGATGAGCTTAATTTGCCACCTAACTCCTTATTGCAAAACCTACCTCCAGTGATAAAGATAAGAAATTAGCCATTTGCTTTGACAATACGATGTAACGGATTATCAGCACTGTCTCTGCAATCTCTTCAGGAGCTGGTTCAGTGTTTACCCAATAACAAAACTGGCCCTTCCTTCTATCTTGTGAAGAGATTTTTCTGGGTTTCGAGGAGATTTGTTTCTAATTATATTTCCCCAACAGTCTAATTCTCAAATAGTACACATGCCAAGTAACAAAATTCCATTTCATGGAACTTAAATACAAGAGAAATCCTAAAATATGCTCCCCAACTATACTGGGAAGATGAGTTTTTTTAAAAAAAGAGGGAGCTAAGTGGGCCAACAGCCTTACTAAAAAGAAATCTGCACAGAAAGGATCCAAGTTGTTTAAAACTAACTCCCACATGCCCTGGCAGGTTTGGCTCAGCGGCTAGAGCGTCATCCTGTGGTCCAAAGAGACCCAGGTTCGGTTCCCGCTAAGGGCACGTACCTTAGTTGCAGTTTGTCCCCGGCCCTGGTTGGGTCATGCGGGTGGCAGCCACTCGATGTGTACCTTTCATGTCGATGTTTCTCTCTCTCTCTCCCTCTCTCTCCCTCCTGCTCTATCTGAACAAAAAATGAAAAAATGTCCTCGGGTGAGGATTAAAAAAAAACCAACATCCGTTTTTTACATTGAAGGGAAAGGAGTCTCAACTGTTTTAAACTCAAGTCCTTCCATCCAGCAGATGCTCTGGCCTCTTAACAGGTTCTCATATATAGCTACCCCCTCCTCACAGCTGTAGGAGAGGCACTGAGTAAGGCCACTGGGGATGTAGAAAGCAAAGTTATCTGAATGCCAGCCAGGGGTCCAGTGTCAGGAAGACCAAGGTTTATCAGACTCCACTACCTCTCTCTAAAGTTCTTTTCTTATCTACAAAATTGGAACACCTGACTGTTATGAGGATCAAATAAGATTGTGCATGTATAGATTAAACCTAGTGGGAAAAAAGTGCTTGCAACACAGAAAATGCTCATTAAACGGCAGAATTTAACTTTTTAATCCTCACCCAAGGATATTTTTCCATTTTCCTTCAGATAGAATGGGGGAGGGAGAGTGGAAAGAAACATCCATGTGAGAGAGACATATCGATTGGTTGCCAGCACAGCCCCGACCAGGGCCAGGGACCAAACCACAACTGAGGTATGTGCCCCTGAATGGAACTGAACCCGAGGCTCTTTGTCTGTGGGCCGACACTCCAGCCGCTGAGCCAAACTGGCCAGGCAAATGGTAAGTTTTAAAAAAAATTTTCTCTTTATTGTTGAGCCCTGGCTGGTTAGGCTCAGCAGTTAGAAAGTAGGCCTGCCGACCAAAGGGTCTCAGGTTCGAATCAAGTCAAGGGGATGTACCTGGGTTGCAGGTTTGATCCCCGACCCCTGTTGGGGTCATGCAGGAGACAACCAATCAACATGTCTCTCCCACACTGATGTCTCCCTTCCACCTCAATTCCCTTCTACTCTCTCACAAAAAAAGAGAAAAGAAAAGGAAAGAATTACAGATGTCTCCCATTTTCTCCAGATACCCTCCTCCCCACCCCTACCCCTTCAGGGCACTGTTGTCTGTGTCCATTGGTTATACATAATTCCCCTGGTTCACCTCTTCCTGCTCCCCCACTACCATCTCTATCTAGAACCATGTTTTCAAACAATTCTTAAGACCACAAGGCATTACTTAAAGAAAACTTTAAATGTTTTACTAATCCTAAAATTCAGTATAGAAAATGTACTCTCATATAAATTTAAAGTATACAAAAAATACAGTATTTTAACCCCTTGAACATGAAAAACCCCAAACTCCGAACTACCTAGTCATTATAAATTGTCAGATAAAAATCAAATTTAAATCATAAACTATAGTATATAATGTGAAATAAAGTTAAATAGCTTTGTATTCACTAGTTTTCTTTAAAAGCAAAAAAAAAAAAAAAAACAAAACACACACACACCAAAAAGCACTATAATGCTATTTCTGTTGGCTCCACAGAAATCACTGAAAATATTACTTCCTTTAACTGTTTCTTAGGCAATAAGATGGGGAAGAATCATCATTGTCATCAAACTGGACAAGTTTTAAAAATATAAAATGTAAGGGAAAAAAAGGAAATATACAAAATGTCTATAGTATACATAAATATTTCAAGGGTTTATTAAATACTAATTGATATAGATTATAAAAAGACTAATAAGGTCAAACCAAAGACTGAGACCAAAGAGAAGAGAAATGGGATAAAAACATCAAGAATTTAAACACCAATATCTTCAGATACTTAATTACACAGATATTTCTACTTTTACTTGTCATACCTATCATTATTAATCAGAAATCCTTGTGTATTAATCTAGCCTACAACATTAACACACAAAAAAACTTCATCAGAAATGCTCCCTTCAACATTACCAATTACAGTAGCAAAGAGTGCCCTTCCCACCTCCACCCCCAAATCTACATGTCTCACAATGAGTGAGGGAATGGTTTGGTGAACCATGATTCATTTTACATGATGCAATTCAATTGAGCCATTAAAAATAATGAGT